TGAAGACAGATGCATATATACATATGTATGTATGCATTTATGTATGTATGATTTATGTATCTGTCTGAACTGAAAACTGTATTCATGTGTTTTAAATTATTAGCTTGAACAGAGAAATATATGTGAACAAAATGCAAAAGATTGTTAATGCTATGTTTATGTACATGCATGGATAATAAATAACATCGACACAGAGGTTATAATTACTGATCTAAAGTTTGAGTTTCCAGAACTCATTCAAGGACAATGGAATAGACACTTACACTTTCCTACATCCAGAATTAAATAAATTCCCACTTAAAGACAAGTCCTTTTCAAGCGGCTGCAGACTCAAATTAAATATACTTCTCTCACTAATCAATAGCAGACTATGAGCAGGAGATAGAGAAGTGCCTAGTGAGGACTGGACTCGTCTGTCAACACACACTGGACCTACAATGTGAAAATACAAGAGGATATCGCCTGTAGAGTTCTAGTCATGTACATCTCTAGTTCAGTGAGTATCGTGTGAAGTAATAACGGTATAACTTGCCTGGAAAACACTAGCAGCTAAAGAGACAAATGGATTAGTGCTCATTATTCACTTGGTCAGCAGTCAAGAAGCTTTACCCGTAGGAACTGCCTTCCCCTGGGTAAAATACAAAACAACGTGACTGTGGCTGAAGTCTTCATCATGGCAACACTGACCATGTTTTTCAGTGTCACTAATAATATGGATTCTTCTGCTTAGAAGCGACAGGCTGATGAATTTGTAAAGTTGAATAGTTTGGCTTATAGCTAACTTAAAAGTCATTATTACTTCTGGTCAAAATTGTAATAATATAGACTGACAGACAAAACTTACAGGAGACTATATCCTAACACCGCTAAATCCTTGGCTCGTGTCTGCCCTTTTCACCACAAAATGAAGGAATACAGTACTTGCCGGACTATTAAAAGCATCTGTAGTAATAATAGACTGTACAGATAGACAGTGCTAACCCCCTATCTCTACGAAGCCCAATAGGAAAGTGCTCATGGATGACATTTTTCTCCAACTCGCTCTGGCTCTATTGACTTACATTGAAACTCATCTAGCTCAGAAACTCCTTGTGTCACTCTTACCGGCTAAAAAAAATCCATGGTTTGGCGCTCTGTGTACCTATTGTTTTTTGTCTTTTCTATTGTCTTTGTATTTCCAGATATGAGCCATACAAAAATTGACCGATCAGATGCCTAAATTCATAGGGGAAACTCAAAATTCCTTAGCAACCTGCCCCGTTATGGCGTGAAGCTAACAGCGTCAGAACAAATGCCCATAAAAGGAAATTATCTCCACCTAGCTTATTTTCAAATCGACCTCTTTCACATTCTGCAAACACTATGATGACGTTAGCATTCGGTTAGTCCACTCCATATACAGTATACGATCTATGATTGTAATGTAACACTTAACCAACAGCTGATAGAGCAAAATGAAAGACAACTGTTGACTGATGATAATTCGAGATTGGTAAATAACAATGAACAATGAACTCTGACATAACGAACCTAAAAGTACAGTTTTCATGTCGGGACTTATTTACAAATCTGTATTTTACAATACTGTGCGTCCTATAGTTGCTAAAACTGGATGTCCTGACAGTAGCTAGTTAATCACATGCACAGCCTAAATTCTGGTTGAAGTGCGCTAGGGCCTACTTTGCGATTAGATCCGGGCTTTAGGTGCTATGTGACCGCGGCATGTGGGCTTAGGCACGGTTGAAGACTTGGGCCAGAGCACGCTTCTAAAGCCCAGATGAGGGGGGTCAGTGTGGCGGGTGGTGGGGAGTGGGGGATGAGGTGTAGTGGGGACTTGATATATTGTGCGTCACATTACGTCTTTCGTTGTGACGTGCATTTTCACACACGTCCCTCCCTGCACTTTAGTATTCTCCGCTTGCGTTAAACCTTTCATATAAGCCCCCGGACCGTGGTCGAGGGGCGTATGTGTCGCTCCAGGGCCAAAGGGTAGCGTTTCCCACTGGAATAATTCCCTCTGTTCTGACCCTCGCTAGTGTGATGCTGCTATTGCAATGAGACTTCAGACATTCAAGAATCAGTCTTTATTTAATCACCAGAACACACCAACACACACTTATATCCTGCCTGGCTCCGGTCACTCTGCTCATACGCCACACTTTTCATTCTTTCATTCTCATTCATTCATTTCTCAGCGCTATTACGCTCGTTACTTAAGAGGTGCGCTCCCCTATCCGCGGCGCACACACACACACAGACACACTCACACACGTGCGCACAAATGTTACCCACTGAACTGCTGCACTTTGCATCAAAGCAATGTGGACAAGTGAGATTTGTCTTTCCCTAAACAACGCGATCCGTACTCGAGCTGTTAGCGCACAGTAGCAGAATGTAAACAGGAAGAGAAACAGAAACTTAACTCGGACAAGGAGGTCGTCGCTGGAGTTAGTAGCGCCACCAGCTGAACCGTACTACAGGACAGTTGCTCTGGCACGGTTGCAAGAAGAAGCTCTTGTGACCGCGGGCTGTGCTTCACACCCCTGTGGCGATGATCCAGGCCACTTGGCCTAGTTCGTTTGTAAAACCTATGTGACTGTGCCCTAAAAAACAAGTCCTGCATCCATTTTGTGTACTCCCTCGTATTAGCTCTCTCGGTTGTTCACATAAACATGAACAACAGCTGATAGAGCTGTCTAGAAATTCTGTATTTCTGTCCCGGGCAGCACAGGACAGAACAAAAATAAAAATATATAAATCGACAGCATTGAAGTGAAAAAGAAGTGGCTTAAAGTTCTTATTGGAGCCACAGAAAAAATACCATTTTTTTTATTATTTGTATTATATATGTTTTCTGAAATTTCCCCACTGAGGGACGAATAAAGGTTAACTTTTATTTTCATAAACTTGCATGTCAAAGCGTTATTCTCTTTAAGAATTTGTGTTCGTAAAAAGAGGGAAAACAGCCTTTCAATATTGAAAGGTTGTACAAGTTACAGCACTGACTGTGGACCATATGTTGGATGTTTCTTCTCTTTACAAAGTCTCAGTTTTTCCCTTTATTTTTTTCACAAATGCACAAAGATCTGGGCTCCTGCTGGGATTTACAAACACACTCCAGCATATTTTTCACAACATATCTGGACCACTTCTGATTTATTTGAAAGGCCAGTACTCCAGGAGGCCTTTCAGCACACTGCTCGTATGACTTCTTAAGTTTGCTTTTTCCCTGATGTTGTTTACTTTGACAAAGTTGCCATTGGCTCAATAAACTAAACCCCACAGAGCTTGATCATGGTGGTGTGACTGTGATATTTGGGGTCACATATATTTATTTGAGATTTCACACTGTTCTCTTTATCTTGTGTAGTATATTTCCAAACCATGCTAATATCGCAAACTTAAAAATAACCCCTATGATTCACGACTATACAGAATAGACCTTTAATGATTTCAAATGAATATGAAGAGACATGCTGGCATAGCAGAAGACAATCCAGGCTAAAGGCGTGGGAGGATGCATGTACAGTATGCTGAGTGGGAGCAGGGCCACAGCAGGAGTCATGATTTTCAAGTTCTTATCTTCTTACAGTTTAGGTGTATGTGTGTGTTTTACTGTGGTACATTTATGATAATGTATTTGTACTACATGTATCCCATTGGGGCTGCAAACACCAGCCTCATTTTTCTTATTGTAGTCACAGTGACTAATATTGGCTCAGTTGAAGCCCTTCAAGGCAAAAAGCCAAAGTGACAAAACCATTAAGAAAATGCATTTGTGCACTGACTCACTCCTGATTAGTGACCACAGGCTTTTTGACATTTCAGCAGTGTATGCATATTTGGCATATGCATTAAATTAAATTACAAAATTTAAAACGTTTTAGTAAGGGTTGTCTAAATCATCTTCTCGGACATTGGCCCTCAAACATTATAGACATCATTTTGAGATGGGGGAATTTGTTTCAGTCCATCCACTGATACTTTTGGTTCATATCAAACCGGAGAGACAAAGCATAGAGATCAGTGAAAAAGCTTGGATTGGTGGAACTCTCTGCATCCTGAGTGCAGTCCTAAAGGTGTGGTCTTTAGGGGCAACCTGTCCCCAGATATTTATGTTTGGTTTGGTCAGGACGGCCAGAAGATTTTACTTTGTTTACGGGGAGAAACATAAAACACACAGAAAGATCACACCCTTGACCTTCTTACTGTGCTTTACTCAGAGTACCCGCCACACCCTTTAGTTGTAAATGAAGAACAAAACTAGGCCAGAAATGGGACTACGCTTGTAGTATCTAATATATATTAGTGAGTACAATTACATGTGTTATATATTACATTTAATTATTCCAATAAATGAACTGTAGAGGAATCCGTGCTACGCATAAAGGAGCTCTTACCACCAGTGGTCTGGGCAGTTTTTAATTGTACCATTAAATTACTGAAATAAAAAGTAATGTAGCAATTTGCTGCCCCCTTCAGAAGCAGAATTACAGGCACCTTTCTCTTTCTGCAATCACTCGATGGTCACCTGCTCAGATGCAGTCCTGCATTGCCATCATGTGGTTGATAAAACCAAACACCGTTTATTTTTTAATTTTACAATATTAATTTCTCTAATTGGATTTGAATTGGAATAATGAAATGTGTTAATCTTTTTGAAATACAATGTGAAGCAGAATTATAAAGACACCTTTATTCATTGTATCACATACTGTACTTTAAATAGTTAATCCCTGGTCTATTTTAGATTTGAGTTTGGTTTTTTTTGTGGATATGTTGTTAATGTGCTACTGGATACATTTGACATAATCATTGACATTATGTATCCACTGCAGTGCATCGTTTATTGAAAATGATGTGTACGTGCTTTGTTTTGATGATATATTGGTTCAATTAATTAATTGTACTGTGAAAACAACGTTTTTATTGTACTAACAAATTGTTCAGCTTTATTTTCTACCACAAAGCACTAAAAACTGGGTACAAGTTTCCATCCGTCAGTGCTCCTGGGCGCTGTACGTACTCTGGGCGCCTGTAGGAGCGGTGCAGTGGTCCATGCCCGGGTTAAAGACGCCTCTGTCCGCCCGGAGCTGCAGTCTGCTGCTGGAGAGACAGCGACAAACCCAAACACGGACCACCGCTGAAAGGAGCTCAAACCACCGCATGTCTCCTGTAATGTTGTGAGCAGGTAAGATTCGCCGCTAAATCGTGCCTAAAGATGCGACTTGGAGCCAGAGCTAACGCTACACATCGGGGTTGCATACAAAGGCTCTCCGCGACAGAGAAAATGCCGGGCTGCTGCAGCTCGGAGGCCCGTCTCTGTCTTTCCACATCCGATCCCCACTAACACATGTTTACTTCATTCAAACCCTATTTCACCTTCTACTTAATCTAATGTTTCACCCACGGTTGAATGTGGAATCAAACACGCCTCTACCTGGCTCGGTTCGCACGCACTGGTGTTTTCTACTTTCGTGGCCGGTAGTCTGTCTGTTCATCGGTGTGTCGTAGCTCTGGTCGCCGGGCTTCAGTGCAGTCAGAGCCGCGTGAGGAGCGAGGGAGACCGCTGGGGCGCTCCGTGTAGCACCACGCCGCGTTAGCATGCATAAAAGAGCAAAACAAGGTTAAAAGACTAGGATTTGAGACATTTCTAGGCTGGTATTATAAACGCTATGCATGATTAAGAACTTTATTTACCTTTATATCCAGGTTTTATGTCACAGTTGTCATAAGCTAACTATGGCATTTTAGCTTTTGTTCTGTTGAAGGCATGCTCTTCGATTTCCTCATCTTCAAGCTTGCTTTTAGTTACTTTTACTTGATTAAGAAAGTTCTAGTTCGCAGGCACACCACGCGTTAAACACTAAACTGAGGTTTGACTGAAGCCCAACATTTGACGTAATGGTTGTGTTTAATATTCTGCAATTAAATTTGTTCGGGATTTTTCAAATCTCAATTTTATTTCATAGATTGTCAGGTTTGAAGACTCAGTAATAGAAATTGTCAAATGGTTTCGATTTATTTGATTTTTGTAGTCGTTTACAAATACATTTATAGATGTTTTATGTACTCACGTGTATAGATATTTTTATTAATCATGCGTATTGCGTACTTATAGGAGTTTTGCACTAAATATAAGATGGCACGTTTCTTTTCAAAATAAGAAAACATGTCCTATTTTATACAACAATGTGGACGTTTGAGTGGTGTCAAGAATAGTTGGGAAACTTCTAGATCTCACAATGGAGACAATTTACATTTCACATTTGGGATAGATAGAATCACTCAGGGTGTGCAAAAAGACAGGAAGGGAAAGTTAAAATATAGTCTGTTTTGTGCAAGATATATATTATGTATAATAAATTACCATATTTACATTGTGTCTAAATGCGTGTCTGTTTCTCCCCAGATTCAACCATGTGATTGTGAATGGAGGCCACAACTCTGTTCTACCTTCAGTAGAATGTACTTAATGAATGCACCTCCTGTTGCTGTGACTCGCACGGAGTGGAGAACATGTGGCACATCAGGGGGCTATAGCCTTCCACTTTGCCTCAATGACTCGGACAGTGACTTGTCCTCCAGAGGCACACCTATTTCAGACAAAGTCCAAATGATCATTGAGAGCCTTCGGAGCACTCAGTCCTCAGTTGAGATGGGAGATGAAAATGAAAGAAATGTCTTAAGTGGACATGAAGGTCATCCTCAAGTCTGTAAGGTGACAATGGCTTCTAATGCTGGGGCCAACTCCAAAGCCCAAGGGGCCACTGTAAATCAGCAGGACATTCTTTCAATAGCCTGTAATGATAGCCAGGATTCTGACAGTGATGATTCTGTGGATAGAGGAATTGAAGAGGCTATTCTTGAATATCTGAAAGAAAAAGATGGTCCGAAACAAAAGGAGGAAACCTGCTCAGATGACGTCAAGCCTTTAAAATCACCTAGAAGTCCGTCTCCTATTCCTGGCATATCCCAACATAATTCTGACAGCTGCACATTCTTGACTGCAAGCCAAGTTGTGCCAAAATCTGTGACAATAGAAAAGCAGATTACACCTACCACATATCCGATTAAAAAATACATCAAACATAAGGCTTCAATTACAGAGGGATTATTCACAAAGCAAGAAGCAAACACACCCTTAAGCATAATGAATGAGTTTCCAATCGGCCAGACTAACCAGGCATCTAAATATATGAGTGAGCTTCAAACAAATCCTGAGGAGAGCACTGATTCTAGCAGTGATGATGGGATTGAAGAGGCTATTCAGCAGTATCAAATGGAGAAACATCAGCAGCACCAAACAGAGACTCAAAACGTCCATAAATTAAGTGAAGACTCTGATTCAACAAGCGATGATGGCATTGAAGAGGCTATCCGCCGCTACCAGCTTGAACAACTCAAGAAAAAGAAAATCTTCAAACCATTGGAAAATAAAGCAACAAAAACTGGACTTAAATGCGCAACAAAGGGACTACATGAACCTAACACTGAAACTATGAAGAAAAACAAGTTGAAAAGGAAAAAAAATAAAAAGGATGTGCTATCTGTTAACATGCCGAATATTCCAGCTGGAGGCGGTCCAAAGGGAAATTTTATGCACTCCTTCAAAGTTGAAGGTTTCAAGCAGCAGTCTTCTCCAAAGACTAAAACAACAGCAGAGCTTATGTGTGCGGAGGCGATATTGGACATCTCTAAAACCATGATGCCTGGAGCCTTTGAACAACCTCCTGGTCTTGCCAACACCTCTTCAGTTGACGTACAGTGTTCACTTCCTGACAAACTGGAAGATGGAAGTGACGACAGTTCCATCGACAGTGAAGATGGCATTGAGCTAGAAATACGGAGATTTCTTGAGCAAAAGGCCCAACTACAGAAACAGAGCTCCGTAGCAGCTCCAGAACAAAGTGAGAATGAAAGTGAAGCCATAAAACCAAAAGGCACAAACAGACCAGGACGGCTCTCCTTAACAAAGAAAAAGAAGCAAAAGACTGCAAAGCTCAACTTTTCCACCATGTCTGAACTGAGTAACATCAAAGGCACAATGTCCTCAGAGGATAGCGATGACAAATCTACACCTTCAAGTCCCGTATCCAAACTACAAAAGAGAGGACATGGTGGGGACAAAAGCAGCTCTTTTGACAGTGATGAAGACCTTGACCTGGCTATAAAAGATCTCCTCAAAACAAAAAAGAAAATAAAGAAAAAGACTAGAGACTTGAAGCGTAAGCCGGATAAATCTGTCAAAAAGGAACTTAGAGAATCTTTTCTGCCGTCCAAGAAGTCAAAACTGGATCTCCCCAATCAAAGTAATCAGAAGCCAACAGAGAAAAACAGTTATGAACTAAGTTACTCTACTTTGCCGAAGGACGATATTTTCCAGGCAGCATGTATTAAGGGCAAAGACTATGTGATTAAATCACAGAGTGAATCTTGTAATGAAACACAAACTAAACTTACAAAGGATGAAGATAGTTCTGTAGACAGCGACGACAGCATTGAGTTGGAGATTCAGAAGTTCCTTGCTGAAAAAGCCAAGATTGCAACTGCAGAAACCAATAGGAAGAGTACAACAAATGGTACTTCACAAGTTTGTGCTGAAAAAAAAGCTGTGGATGTTAAACAGGAAGATCAGCAGGCTGAAATTTCAAGTGAAAGCATTCCCTTTTCAGGACAATCTAATGAACATGTGCTTTTTGCCGAAAACAACACAGTGAAAGACAAATGGTCACCACAGCAAGTTTTTCCAAAAATTATCCCTTCAAGTGTACGGTCCCTCTGCCCTTCCAGCCCAACATGCAGCCAGAGTTTATTAGAGCCTAGCGATCGAGCTGGGGCTTCCACAGATGCTCAAAGGACTCAAAAAATGTTAAGTGAAAACATCCAGGATACATCAAAAGGACAGTCCGTTCAAAATCCTAATCTGACGGCTTCTCAATCGGCATCTATCAAATGGCGTCAAAGTTTGGGGTTGCCCATCATTGATACCAAAATGCGAACTCCATTCCAGGTCACTTCATCCAAACAGAATGAGACTGCGTCAACTGCAAGACCATATCAAAGTGTTCTGAACTTCAAAGTCCAAAATCCAGTTTGGTCCAACGCAAAGCCTTCGTTTACCCGCAACACCGACACTGGATTTCACCCCAGCACTTCAAGCTTTGCGTCATCTACTAGACCACACCCAGGACCCTTTACACAAGCACTTGCTTCTGATCGCACTTCCCAATTCCCCATCGAGGAAGAGACAAAAAGCATGGTGCATATATCTAAGGACAAAAGTGTGTACGTAGAGCTTGAAACAAATAGGACCAACCACGTTCAAGTCCGAAACAGGGACAGAAGTGAGTGTAAGGAAGATCAAGGTCTGCTAAAGGCTAATGGTAATGAAATAACAAGTGGAAAGATGGAGGAGAAACTGCAGCTGGAAATTAAAGAGGAGAGCTTTATAGATGAGGCAGATTATGATTCAGGAAACAAGTGCAATCAAGAGAAGAAACAGGGCCTTTCCACATTGTAAGTATAGCCATACATGTGTGATGTTTTTACCCATTTATGACATGGTCGTGATACCTGTTCATAGATGTTACTTTCAGTTAGGAATGTACCTTAAAACATTATTGTTACCATGAGTTTCAGAGTGAAAAATTAGGACCGGTGCCATAGCAATTGACAATTCCAAACTGATTTTTTTTTTTTTAAATTGGAAACGGGTCATTGAAATGTTGCATGAAACAACTTGATCTGACCTTATGATTATTTTCTCAGTGAACATTTACAATACATGCACAAAAGCAGGTCACAAATCAGTTCATGAATATAGCCTCCCCCTCCAAGAATAAGTTTACTTAAGATATTGAGGGTCTATGCCATCCCTTGAACAACATTGACAAGATAGTCATGTGACCTTGCTGTCAATTTAATGAATCATGTTGAAGATTTGTAAATATAACTAATCAAATTATACCACTGTTAAAATTCCCAGAAAGGCAGCACATTTTGTCAAGCTCCATTTTGAGCTTGTGGTTAATCTTTTTGGTGTCGTGTAAACTGTTTTTGAAAATCAAATGGAAAAATATATTTATTTTTGTTTATAAAACTGTAACTGAACATGCTGTGCATTTTGTACATATTTTGTAAGTGGCTTTGTGTTTGTCCCTCATTTTATTTTTTCAGATTAAAAAAAATAATCTTGCAATCTGCGTAATAAAGAGTGAATAATAAAGATCTGTTTTTGTATCATAAATGTCTTCATATATTTTTGATAATGATCATGTGCCTTGCTCTGCCTGCTCAGGTCTTTATCAAGTGCTATTGACCCTGGCTTCACATTCAAACCCTGCATAGCCCTTACAACTGAGGAGAGAAGTGAGAGATTCAGCAAGAAGTGCATGGATAACAAGTGCAGGAAGGTATTATTTTAGTGCTAACCCTTCAATTGTATTAGGAATATAATCTGGCAGATTGTGCTGGATATGACCAATGAGTTTAAGATTCCCAACTACTATCACTAGGGAAAGCTTTCTTGGAGGAGTGGAAATTTACAACAATCAGTTCAGCATGTTAAAAGAAGGCTTCAGTTTGTTCCTGTGCTCAGGTAGGCCAATATTGAGACACAATTCATCGTCAATGGTTGCTTCTAAATGAGTGAATCTTTTCTAGGAGAAGCGATGCAACAACTCTGCACTATTAAAGATGTTGACTCCCCTGAAAAGTTTCAGACAGGAATTTTGTTGTGTGCACTGTTTGTAAAGTGTCTATTTAGTTTATACATTGGACATGGACAGTTCTGTTTTGGTTTGTGTTGCATTGCACAGCGGTATGGCTGACATTGTTCTTTTCTTATTAAATTCCATTACTTTAGGTGACGTGTGTGTTTCTTTAATCAGCCCCTGAGGTTTACAGGGAAAACAACATATTTTAAAAACACCTCATTTTCCCCTGCTTCCTGTTAAGAGTCGAGGGAATAAAACCACAAAAGCAAGGGTTCAGAAGTAGACATTTGGGCAGAATAACAGCACTATAACCTTTTGCTCTGGGCAGGGATGTGAAGCTACATGCAATATCTTATCTAAGATGTAATTATGTTATATCCTGTTATTCCAATTTAATTTTGTTGTACATATATCCTGCATGTAACATGTTTGCACATTTCCTCCTTTGCACAATCTGAGTGTCCTATCCATGCCAAATGTGACATGTAAATTTTTCCTATGTGAGATAAATAAAGCACATCTTATCTTAATACTGGGTGGTAGGTAAATAGAAATGGCTCTTTTTTTCACCTGATTTATTTATCCAGGGCTTCATGATGACAAATAGACCATTGCCACAGAGCCATCCAAAACAAACAAATGTAGAAAAGGTTGCTGTGATGTTGCATGGAAGATGATCCTCATTTGTGTCAAATTTGTATAACGTGAAGTGTAGTGTATTGGCAGACACTTATTTGAAACATTTTGATACTAATTTTTTCGACGGTATTTTAAAAAGAGGGTTTCTTTCCATTAAGATACTAGTCTGGGTCAGTTTATCATTTTAAATGACGTTGTTGAACACGCAAGATGGCGGCCAGAGCAACACAGTTCTCTAGTAGCATTTTACTCCTACTGCGCATGCGTTGTTTTGCTGACCTTCCACACTGCGAATCAGCATGGCTGCCAGGGCACTCATGAGAGGTAAAAGTATTTTATAACATTATCATAACTTGAGAAACATTTCCATAACATGCGTCATTGTGTTTTAGTCGTCTCTAGGTCCGTTTCAACATGTAGGCACCGGTATTCAACTGCAGCAGCTGTACAGACGATACCACCTCCACACGATGATGTAAAGGGTGAGGAAGTAATGGCACAGTGTACGCATAGCTCTGATTATCCATCTATAACGTTGTGTATTTGTTTACAGATAAAGTCTTCGCCATGGCACTTGAAAAGACAGATTTTTTCCGGGTGTCTGAGCTTTTCTCATTAAAAGATTTGTTCGACGCCAGAGTTCATCTCGGCCACAAGAAAGGATGCAGACACAGGTTTGTATTTGTTATTACTCTTAGAAAGTGTATGCGGGCTTGCTTCCAGATTAAGCATGCATTATCTTTTGTGTTTCTGTTCCTCACCCATTACCCACGAAACTGCCTAATACAGGGGTCACCAACCTTTTTGAAACCAAGAGCTACTTCTTTGGTACTGATTAATGCGAAGGGCTACCAGTTTGTTACACACTTAAATAAATTGCCAGATATGGCCAATTTGCTCAATTTACCTTTAATTCTATGTTTTTACTAATAATTAATGATATTTATTTTGTGGAAAAACTTTTATATTTTCTCTAACTGCACATTTTTCACATTTAACAAATGATCACTTCTAAGACAGTCCCATTTAATCGCTATTAATCACATTTTAATCGCATATAAATATTTGACCTGAGAACAGTGAGAAGTAATTTTGTTCACATGGATTTTTAGTTTACCATTGAATAATGACTGAATACATGAGGCTTAAGCAACACATGTTAATATGGAGTTTAAGGGATAACTTCTAAACATCAAATAACGTTTCTGTCATTGCCTCCACACTCTGACGACAACATATGCTCCTCCTCCTCCTCCTCACACAGACGACAACATATGCTCCTCCTCCTCCTCCTCACACAGACGACAACATACTCTTTTTAAGCCCAAAATCCACTGCACACGCTGTGAGCACTAAAGCTGGGCATGCGCTGTTTGCTAAAGCTTTTATAATACGTTTTTGATGTGTGCATTCGGAGTAAACATCAGCATTAGCAGCTCACACACCTGTGTCTCGCTCCTCCTTCTCCTTCTCCTCCTCCTCCTCACACACAGAGTCCATCGCTCCATACACAGCGCTCATTCCCGTCTAATTTACTCGAATATAAAGTTGGTCTCTGCTTGTAATAATGTACTTTTGAACAAGAAAAGTCACGGAGCTCCGGTTGGTGCGTCAGTTCAATTGGTCCGTCTGAAACGTATTCAGTGAGGAACGTTCCGCGGTGCAAAAATACATACGATTAAAATGCGTAATTTTTTTAACGCTCTTTTTTGTGTGTAATTAATTAATCTTTATTAACTTGTTAAAGTCCCGGCTCTAGTTTATATGCCATTTGTAAGTTGCATGTAAGTATGATTTAAACAAGAATAGCACTGGTAAGTGCTGCCATTTGAGCTATTTTTAGAACAGGCCAGCGGGCGACTCATCTGGTCCTTGCGGGCGACCTGGTGCCCGCGGGCACCGCGTTGGTGACCCCTGGCCTAATAGAATAGCCATAGATTTGGGTTTGGTCACAGCATAGCTTTTTTTATTTATTTAAACACGTGTTTAGGGTTATTCATTTTTTATTGCCGACAGAAAAACTCAGAAAAAAACAGGCTAAAACTTTATGTGTTATGTATTTGAAAACGTGTTATCTCTTGCATACATATTAGAAAGAGCCCAGTCACTAACTTGTTTGAGAGTCTAAGGGCTGAGTCAGGGACCGGGTCCTCTCTTTTTCTCTTTAATGTCTGGAAAAATCTGATCTAAAGATGTGATAGGGGCCAAAAAAATGCATGCAACTGTTTAGAAGGAAAACAACCATTTTTGTATGAGTTGAAAGTTTGGTACCCCAGCTTTACCCCTTTTGCTACCCTCGGGTTAAATTACCACAGATAATTAAAAGTAGAAGACAAATTTCCTGAATTAAGATTAAATGACTGAATGAAAAATAATAGAAATTCAACCCAAAATAATCTTGTTGATTTTATATGCAATACTTTGGTGGGAGCATTTTTTGGTTGTGATTATTGTTAATTACTGATTGGTACCACTTAAAGTTATAAGTGTGATGCTTCAATATGTAATTAGGCTATTATTGTTATTATTTATGATTGTGGCATCACACTAGTTTCAAAAAGTGAAATTATGTTATCACCTAATGGTTACATTGAATTTCTTATTTCCAGACTCATGGAGCCCTATCTCTATGGAAGCCGTTTAGATCAAGATATCATTGATCTGGACCAAACTATGGAGCATCTTCAACAAGCGCTCAACTTCACTGCACACATTGCATACAGGGGTGGTGTTATACTTTTTGTGAGTAGAAGACGCCAGTTTGTTCACTTGATAGAGAACACGGCAAAGGAATGTGGAGAGTATGCCCATACAAGATACTGGCAAGGAGGGCTACTTACCAATGCTCCTGTCCAGTACGGCGCTGGAGTCCGCCTACCCGACCTCATGGTCTTCCTCTCCACTCTTAATAATGTGTTTCAGACTCATGTAGGGGTCAGAGATGCAGCAAAAATGAATATTCCTACTATTGGGGTTGTGGATTCTAACTGTAATCCATCATTGGTCACGTATCCAATCCCAGGTAATGATGACACCCCAATTGCGATGGAGATGTATTGCCGCTTATTCAAGATGACGATCAACCGTGCAAAGGACAAAAGACGGCAAATGGATCTCCTTCATGGTTTGATAGCCCCCTCTATCGAAACCTCGTGACTTTAATTTTGGATTCCTAATAACCAAAAATTCTGGAATATTTACTCCACAAAGCAATTGTTGTGTGTATGCAGACTCATTGTTGGTTTTGTCATAACCATTTTTTTCTTTTGTACTGTCGACTCTCAAATATTTTACTATATCTGCTGCTCATGTCAATAAATGTGAACTCTGACAATTGAAGAGCATCCTTTGCGTAATGAGACAGTAGGATATACAGTCTATGGATGTAACACATGGATCTAAAAATGTGGAGCACACAATATTTAATAAAATAAATACATCACTGATCTTTGTGTAAGGCTATCTGTTTAGAGATTTTTCATGTTTGACTTCCCGTAGTGGCAGACGTTGGTCGTTCATATTTCATGTCCTTACATGTTTAGCTGCTATTTTTGGACTAAAGCTAGCAGTTCGTAGCTAGCATCACACACTAGTAGCATGGATCCTCGCTGTAGATAATCTGTAAGGTGAGTGTTTATGTCACTGTGTAGGTGGTGTCAGTGCATAAAAGACCACATGTGTCCACTGTGTTGACATGAGTCAACAGGGGTTTCCTAGTGAAATATTCAATACTTCCTGCGTCAGTCGCAGATACGCAACAGCTTTGGGTTCTCTTCTCTCCATCCGTGTTTATGAATGTATTAGGTGCTCATTCCCCAAACACAGTCATCAGTCTGCCTTAAAAGTGTGGATCTATAGTTAAACGACAATTCGGTGTCAATTCAGCGCAGATAACCTGTTATTCTGCTGTTTGGTTCTACAAAGGTTACTCCCACGACCGTCATTATTCCATTGGGACAGTAGGAGGCGCTGCTGTGCCATGTGCTGTGCTGTGCATCTTCATTGATTGTTATACAGTCCTTTATTTAAAAAAAAATATTGATGAAGTTTATACGTATATAATAAATATTGTAAACAATCTTATACAGATTATCATCTATTATCTTAAAATAGTGAATCCTGTAGTATGTGTTCATAACCTGAGTTATCTTATTTATCGTTTGTAATGTGCAACTATGACAATGAAATTTCTCCACTGAGGGAAGAAACAAGCTTCATCTTATCTTAAAATGAACGCTATATAGGTTTACTATAACCTTTTTAATAAGTCTCTGCCCTAATTCCTTTTCGTGTTTGGAAAAACATTTGTGAGTTTTCATGATAAGATTGGGTTTGACTAACATTTTATTTCACTTAACAGGTTCACATTGGATTTGATGCTTGGCCACAGAGTGTCAAGAAGAGCAGATTCCTTGTTTTAAGGTGTAAATACAGGCTACGTTGAAATGCATTCACAGACAACAAAATATTATTATATTGCCCCTTGAGATACAGCTTTGACATTTGTGTCAACAGCTGCGCAATAGCGGGCATAAAGTGAGTGGCTCACGATGGCCCAATTCTCCTCGTTGGTGTTCATTGGGTATGGAACCGGGCCAGATAAAGATTCATTTGTTTAAACAGTATAAAAATGGTATACAATTATAGGATATTGTCTTCTGATACTAAACTGTCACTATTTTCTTCAGATGTAACTGGTGGCTTCAAAGAACCTTAATGAGGGACCACAGAGATTTCATCCTGCTTCCATTATTCTGTCATTGTGATAATTCTAACTTTTATGGTCAGAATGAAATCTAACCTATAGTATTGATCATTGTCACTTGATTAATATGTTGTTATCACAAATTAATCCACAGATGTATACATACAAGTATATTTTTCATACACAGTATTTGATACTTAGTTTATTTGTCAATCTTTTCTTGTTGTGCTATACTTCACTGAATATTTATAATATGATAATAATATGATAATATATTATCACTTAACTTTTGATGAACACTGACATTTCTCCACTTTGTGATGTATAACAAAGTTGTCCTGCATCATGGACAACACCTCCCACTGACTGCACAGGACTGTAGAGGAGCTGAGGAGCTCCTTCAGTGGAAGACTGAGGTACCCTCAGTGCGCTACTGCAGGGCCAGACTGTAATAAGTCACTTAAAGTCACTAATGCACTAGGACTGAAACACCTGCACTACTAATACCACTCTTTCTTTTATTTGCCACTTTTTATTGTACATAATGTATCCTGAACAGACTATATTTTTTGCCTTGAACATGTTTGCACACTTCTGTTTTTTTCACAAGTCTGAGTGAGTCTATTTATACCAAATGTGACATGTACATTTTTCCTGTGTGAGCTCAATGAAGTCTATCTTATCTATCGTAAAATATATATTCTAGCTACACAGAACCATCCAATTTTCTACTGATATGTTGATATATTTAGCGTATTACTGATATGTTAAGCGTAATCATGTCCTCACACCCTTGTCTTTATATTATTTTGTATTTAATTTTTTTTGAATTAGTAGTCATTTATACTTTCTCAAATAATTGTATTATATATCTGTTTATTTCTGTGAATTAAAAATGAACACAAGCAATGGATTGTTTCATTTTTGATTGCGAGAAAATAAGATCATAGACCAATAATTAGAATACAACTGTTGTGTAAAATAGATTAGGCCACTGATTCTGTGTCTGCAGCAAATCTGTCGGCTAATGAAAACAGCTGATGGACCAGTGCACGTCCCCTTTAACTGTCGCTGGAAACAGGAGGCTGCGCGCGTCGAGATTCACGCGTTATTTTTATTTTCATCTCCTGCATCATTAAATACACCCTGTCGTTCTACATTGACGCATCTTTCAATGTAATCAATGTTGCTTTGTTAACAGTAGCGTACAACCAAACTCAGATAATCAGACATCAAACCGCTAGATGCTTTGTTGAATTTTTTTTGTCAAGGACGTAGCGCGTACATGCGGCTGAGATATGCTCCGTTGTCATCTCTCAAACACGCACTTCTGCTGCAACATGAAGGATGTCGCAGTTTATAGCGCTGAGGAGGAGGTAGTGTGAGGTCTCCTTATGTTCAGCGTGCACTGGCGCTCATTATGCCGAGAGCCTTCAGGAGATTTGTCCATCTGGTGCTCTTCTGTCCCTTATCCAAAGGAGTTCAGGTATTGTGTAGTTATGCTTTTCAGATGCTTGTCTATAATCTCTCCTAAAAGCCTGTTGTAGTGCAGCTCCATTCAGTAAGTCATCATCAGACTGCAACTGAGATTTTCCTTAGTTTTTGGATTTGATTTAGCCCCTGAAAGCCTTTGTTTTGCTTAAATCGTTCTAATTTAATCTTAATTAGCTCTTTATGACAACATATCTAACAGTGAACATTGTATTCAAAATCTGAAGCGTTTATCAATTCGATATAATTACATATGTTTTTTGTATAGCCCTAAATCACAATGGCTCGTATAGGACTTTACTGTAGGAAGTTGTCGATTCACTAACAACAGGTCAGATTATGAAACAGGAAATGCAATAACAACAAACACATAGGGGTCATTGGTCCACAGGGAACATATATGGACCCATGCCCATAGATGTCAATAAATGTACAGTACATCACGGGTCAACACTGTCCATAGACCCTCCTGCATCCGCAAACCTTTAGGCCAATAGTGAGAGAGGGATCCACTCCCACTGATCCAGGGTTCAGGCTGTAGAACAAGGACAAGAGCAGTTCATAGTGTGCAATGTCCTCGTAGGATTCTTATTGTTTACTCTATACTTTTAATACTGACTTCCATGTTTTGTTAAGCTCTTTGTATGTATGTGTGTATGTATGTATTTTGCTGTACGAACAAACTTTCCTTGCCTATTCAGAGTCGCCTTCCTGCCATTAAGGTGAAGTACCTGCTGCTGGCCTGGCTGGGTGTTCTCGTCACCAGCTGGGTCCTCTACATGCAGTATGCGTCTTACTCCGAACTCTGTCGGGGCCATGTCTGCCAAATGATTATAGTGAGTATCCCCCAAAATACAGCTCTTATTGCTCTGCCGTGTGTTTTGTTTTTTTCTCCAAATAACACATTTATTAATACAAACCATTTCAGCAGTCTGTCTATGATCATTTTTGTGCAACTGCCTGGTTTATTTGCAGTGTGGTCATTATAAAAGAGGAATCATATCAGGCTCATCTTGCAAGGCGTTATGCGATCAAAAATCACTGACCATGCAGCGGTGTATGACCACAACATCAACACATCAGGTAAAAACAAACACACGTCAAACAAATCCAAAGAACTAACAAACTCACCCAGTACGACATGTTTTCTATTGCTTTAAGATTTACAGTGGACTGTGGAAGGAAAGACCCGTAATAATCAAGTGTGGTCTTGAAGATCCGGGTAACGCAGATGGAATCCTTGAGTCTGGTATGAGGCAAGAGTTGAATTTATTTGACAAACCAACTCGAGGGACGTCAATGGATGAGTTTAAAGATATGCTTCACGCTTTTCTCAAGGTAATTTTCCAAACACACAAAAAAGAAGAAAACAGAACAAATACTTGAGTGATTTTTGAATATACATTATTTTTGTATTTCAGACCAACCTGGGTGAACAGCCATCTTTAAACACCTTAGTGGAGCGGGTTATTGCACTGGCAGATAATAACCGAGATGGTAAAGTGTCTCTGGCGGAGGCTAAATCCATTTGGGCTCTTCTTCAAATCAATGAGTTCCTCTTGATGGTGGCGCTGCAGGAGAAGGAGCACACTCCCAAGCTGCTGGGCTTCTGCGGTGACCTATATGTGACTGAAATAGTGGGACATAGTTCATTGTATCGTATAGAGGTGCCTCATTACCTGCAGGCTCTGGTCCCTGAGGCCTTGAGCTCCGGCTTGAACCACTGGCTCGCACCAACATGGCCACGCAGAGCACGTATCACCATTGGTTTATTAGAGTTTGTGGAAGAAGTTTTCCATGGTTCGTATGGAAGTTTTCTAATATGTGATGCTAGCCCTCATCATGTTGGTTATAATGCCAGATACGATTGCAAAATGGCCAACCTCCGCAGTGTGGCTTCTCAGGCAGTGGTGCGAGGGTATCTGAAAGGGCGGCACTGTGAAACTAATACGGACTGTACGTATGGACGGGATTGTACTGCCACGTGTGACAGACTGGTGAAACAGTGCAACACGGAGGTGGTACAACCCAACCTGGCGAAGGTCTGTGTGCTGCTGCAGGACTTTCTTTTGTTCGGTGCGCCGTCTGATGTCCGTGGAGATTTGGAAAAACAGCTCCGTACATGTGTGACACTTAATGGATTGGCAAGTCAAATGGAAGTTCACCACTCATTAGTTCTAAATAACTTAAAAACATTGCTTTGGAAGAAGATATCAAACACACAGTATTCTTGAGATGTTATGAATATTATAAGTTGCATATGTAAATGTATAGTTTCAAAAGGGATTGTCACCTCATGCATTTTCTCAAAACTGAGTATCAGGAAGCTGTGAAATTTCTTTACAACATCCTCAGGACCTTGTCTCGATCTGTAATATCACACTAAACCACAACGATCTGTAACATCACACTCACAACCACCACTGACTGTGTTATGATCAACAAATGGGGAATAAACATGAACATGTTTGAGTTTGGTTGATATCCATAATATTCCCAAACCGTGGTAAAAAAATAGATGTGTCCTGGAATATTCACTTGGTTTACAAACGACATACTATATGCACAATATTTCAATTCAGTTTCTACTTATTTTGGTTTATCCCTAAATCACAACAGGACTTAATGAAGTTCCTCCTAGAGTTCAAACATACTAAATGCAATAATAACACACACATAGGAGCAATAGGTCCATAGGGAGCAGATGACCAATGTTGATAAATGTTAACAAATGTCCATAAATGTCCTTAAATGTCCCAGAGAAAAAAAGAAAGCTGGGACATACAAATAAATAAGTGACAATTACAAACAGAGAGGTTGGGAAATGTTTCTCTACACCATACATTAGAGGACTCAGATTTATTTAACCAAAACTACATGTTTTTTTGTTTTTGTTTTGTTTTGGACAAAAAACACCTTTACTTAACATATTAAAAGTAAGAATACATACTTCACGTGTGGTATCTTTGAGGTGATTTTCCGGCATCAGTGCTAGATGAGGAAAGTTTTTTTGTGGGGAGACAGCCAGCTCAATGTTACTGATGTTGAAAATCCTATGTTTCTCTCCATGATGTCATCCCCAGGAACATACTTCAAGTATTTTTGGAATTTGTTTGTCTGCACGTTCTGAGGTTCTTGAATACACCTCGATAAAATTCAGATGTTAGTGTCCTCCAGCAAAATCAGCTAAGACATAACAAATAATAGCTTTAGATATGACAAACAACACGGAATTAAATTGATTATGATGCAAAATGGAAGTGTAGTCTCTGGAATTCCGATGGTCTTGAAGGCGGCGCCGGGCTGGGTCTGTCAGTGCTGTTGCTGAGCTGCAGCTGCTGCGAGACAACAGCGGACAACACAGGGAAGTGGGAGGAGGACTGCGGACATCCCCTGCTCTGCCCCCGGTGTGTTTTAACAGTGGTAAAATGCTCAATGTAAGTGTCCATACGTCGCGACTGTGTGTGTATACTACTGCGATAACGTTAGGTGTACATGCTAGCTACTGTCAACCTCTTTAATGTTACTTAGGTTAGCTATAGCTATTAGCATTTAGCATCTTAGCGCTCGAAGTCTCTTGAAGATGCTACTGCTGCATTTGACCGGCTAGTTTTTTATGACTGGCTTTGTTGTTGTTGTTGTTAGTCCTGTGGTTATGTGTTCATTCATTGTTGAGTGTTAAAAAAAGTAGCTGTTATTATGTATGTACAGAATAACATTAGCTTTCCTTACATGCACCCGGCATCGTATTACTAGTACTGTGACCATCTTTTCTGCGCTCTGTTTAGCAGCAATCTCCTGATATGAAGAACTGCATGATCATGACTCAGTAACGGGTTCAAATGAAATCACTGGTCCAGGATGCAGAGAAGGAGGCTGTTGAATCCGAGGAGCAGGTGTCAATGTCGTCCCCGTCGGCCTCTGCATCTCCAGACGCTGCAAGCATCATCGCAACAGAGAGAGATACAAGCACCACGAGCAGTAAAACACTAGGAAAAAGTGATGGGAAACCAGCCAAAGAGGAGGGAAACCTCAGTGTCAAACACAGTAAAAGCCCTGTCTCAGGACAAGAACAACACAGACCAGATAATGAGAGACATCTGCTTATCAGAGGAACTGAGAAAGTCCTACAGAGCAAATCTGAACCCAACGGGAACTATGCGAATTTGAAGAACAATCGAGACCAGGACACTTTATTTAAACCTCCACGAAAGAAGAGGACTGTGACTGTAGACTCCTCCAAGGCCAAAACCTCATTGGAGGCTCTGAAGATCAGTATCAAGCACCTTAAATGGAAAGAGGTTAGTTATTTAGTGTTTGCAAACCATTATAACATGATACATACATTGAAACATACTCGTTCAATGCACTTATCGAAACAGCTGCTAAACTGCAGGTGCTACGCATTTTTTGTGGTTTAACTCTATAGGACATGCTATGGGTCATATCTAAATGTCTAGAACCTTTTTACTATTGGAATTTCATAATATGCATTGAGTTGTTTAGTGACCTTAATATAATTCATTATACATTATAATGACATTAGTTGTAACACTACTCCTCAATTAAGGCATATTCAATTCCTAGTGGCTTTTAGAGTAAAATTGTTCACTGTATAAAGCCTACAAATATGAATAATTGATCTGAAAAGCTAATCGATCTCGCTTGCCACCCTCGACCTAGTCAAGCGGTGTGCACACATGCAAGTAATACCTGTTGTCTGCTATTACTACCTATTCTACATTATAAATGAGGAGTAACAAATGTCCATGCTGTGGTTATAAGCACATACGTTTCAAAGATCAGGCAATTCACAAAAGAATCAGATAGTGACCTAGTTGTTGATGATTACTTTTTGTTGCATGTTAATTTGTTTAAACAATAAAAATAAAAGCAGTGCCTTCACTGTGTCAGTGTAATATACAGCTAAGCAGTGAGCACTCTTACCACAGGGTAATCAGGTCATGAGGGTTCACTCGAGGCCAGGAGGACAGGACTAGATCTCTTCTACTTTAACTTTCTTCAAGATGATGTACGGATGAGGCTATGTGAATTTAATATCTGTCGTGCATTGGCTGTTTGAATGAAGGACATGACATTTGCACAATTGGTGACGGTTAGCTTTAATCTTCACTAATCCATGAGAGCTTTTAGTCATCTTTGAGGTGTACCACTCAACGCAGGGCTCATAGAGATGGGGAAGAATACATGCTGTACATTGAATCATTTTTGTCACATTTGTAACTTGAACTAGTGATTGTACGATTGTTATTTGAGTAATACTTATGCAGTGTCCCATGAATTATGTGTAAACAGGGCTGGCTCAAAATCTCTCGAATCCATGTGAATAATACTGTTTACATTAATATTTGAATATTTCCATGAACATGCATTTATTCAATTAGCACTAAGCACAAATATAAAGCTGATATAAAGAGCTACAGGAGCTACATTACCAATTGACATTAGCGAAATAACAGGAAAAAACACTAACATACATTCACATTATTGTACAGGGGGTATTTCCAACACTGAACATCCTCACTCATCATTTGGCCAAACTTTGACTTCAAATCTACATAACTGTGGATCACATCATTACACATTGTCTTCTAGTGTTCAGGCCCGGAAGGACTCCCTCTTCTAAGGCTCTAATTGTGTCTGTTCTTGATCCAGCAGCTTATCACATTGAGGTGGCACGACTGACCTGCCATGATTAACCCAGCGCAGTTCTGCCACTGCCTGAGTCACGCTAAATGTAGAAATGATGTTGTTTTATTCTCATGTTGTGTTCAGTTTCCCTTGGGACGACGAAGTGCCTGTGACATATATTGGCACGGCGTGTCTTTCCACGAGAATGCAAATATTGTCTCGGGACAAGTCAACAAGTTTCCAGGTGAATCAGGCTAATTGTAAACACTTTATTTGATCCAACTATCACTGTTCCCATAACTAATGTTCAATGTAATCATTTTGCACAACACAGGAATGGTTGAAATGCTGAGAAAGATCAACATGAGCCGAGCAATGCGAACTATGCAGGAGCTGTTCCCAGAGGAGTATGACTTCTATCCGCGCTCGTGGATATTACCTGAAGAGTACCAGCAGTTCACCGCACAGGTGATCACAGAGAGGACACATCCTGGTTTCCTTTCCATTATGTATTGACACAAAGTGGTGTAATGTGACACAATTCTTTCTATAATTCTTTCTGCCTATTTTATTAGATGGCTAAATATCAATCCATCAATCAATCAAACTTTATTTGATTGAAGCTCTTCACAGTCCACATCACCCAAGGCACACATCATCACATAAAACAAACACCAGAATCACATTTAAAACATTAAAATCACACAAGAATTGGAGATAAAATCCTTCAGTAATCATGTAATCAATGAATACAATTCTTGAAGTCACTGATAAAAATGCTCAAAGTCTTTAGTGAACCACTGCATGTTATGTGCAGAATTTGTCCAGTAGAGGGCATCACACCACCGTGTTTAGTTTGGACAGACATGACTCTGTTGTATTGACAGATGTATTAATGTTGTTATTCATGGCTTTGGCTCCATTTGTGCCAAATAACTAAGCACATTCATGTTTTAAAAAAACATAACAATGTATTTATACAGCATATTTCAAACTAGAGGGTGTGCTAAAACATTATACATTTTTAGATATTGATAATTATAGTACAATATCAATTATTTATTCAGATAATTAATAAATAAATAGTAATTATGAATACAAAAATAGTGTACATTTTGTTAATTTGTGGCAGAGTTTTCAATAAGCATAAGGGGTCAAATGGCTTTATTTTTTTACTGAACCATATTGTATAGTTTAGATTATGGTACATTTACAGGGAGCATAAGGCTTCTCATATTTATCTTGGCGCGTGGGACGGCAAGAAGGTTAAGATCGCAGCTTAAGGCCCTCTCAAGTCAGCGATGTCTGAATCTACAAGAATGTTGACGGCTTTATAAACAAGTAGAAGAATTTTAAAGTCATTTTGGGCCTGAACTTGGAACCACTGGAGGAAGATGTACTGTGAGAATCAGAACGCCAGGCGCTGGATTGATTTAAGAGGAGGACAGGAACAAAATAACATTACAAAAGCCATGTATTGTTTTTGTCTGTGTGTGTGTGTACACGTTTGTCTGTATGCAGGATTGTGCAAAAACCACAGGCCAAACTGAGCTGAAACTTGCTGTGTAGATGGTATGTGACGTTAGGACGACCCTAACATTTCCCTAAGGTTTCTCATTCTGATATTGTTCTCAGCTTCGGATGGAGAAGGATAGCGACGTTTTGATCCACCACACCTTCATAGTGAAACCTGACGGGGGCTCTCAGGGAGACGGTATCTACCTCATCCGTGACCCCAGTGACCTGAAGCTGGTTTCTGGCTCACAAGTCCGACAAGGAGTAGTCCAGGAGTACATCCACAAGCCATTACTCATCGACAAGCTCAAGTTTGACATCCGCCTGTACGTCCTCATCAAGTCCATTGAACCACTGGAGATCTACATTGCCAAGGAAGGGCTGACGAGATTCTGCACAGAGCCTTACCAGGTCCTTCCCAACTCAAAAAAAAACGGACTTACTTTTAACCAAGAGCAGTTATCATGTGTATTTGTACGTTTTGACAGGAGCCAAGCCAGAAGAATTTGAGCCATGTCTTCATGCACCTGACAAATTACTCTCTCAATGTGCACAGTGGTAATTTTGTCCACTCAGACAGCCAGAGCACAGGCAGCAAGCGCACCCTGTCCAGTGTGCTGTACAGGCTGGCGGCTAAAGGGGTGGACATCAAGAAGGTGTGGTCAGACATTATCGCATTAGTTATTAAGACCATCATCGCTGTAGTGCCTGAGCTAAAGGTTTACTACCAGGCCGAGATTCCTCCAGGGAAACCGGGCCCTACTTGTTTTCAGGTTGGTTTCAGCTATCACTTTTCCCTATTGCACCTATACACATCATTCACTCTCTTCCTTCAATTCTTAGATATTGGGATTTGATATACTCCTGATGAAGAACCTGAAACCAATCCTGCTAGAAGTAAACTCTAATCCAAGCATGAGGATCGAGCACGAGCAGGAGGCAAGTGTAATTCACCCACTCGTGATACATAGAATGATTCATACATTGTGATCCTAGGCTAATGATGTAAAACAGGGGTTTCAAACTCATTTTGGTCTGAGGCCGGATAGAAAGTCTAGGAACTGGTCGGGGCCCGAAATAATTCTTTCCTTTTCTTATAATTGTTTTTTCCATTAGGAAGGTATTTTGACATTTTAAAAAAAACATATATATATGTTTATTGTTTAGATTTAACCAAAATTGATCCAATATTAAGTTAAACACATTGTTTTATAATTAACTATTTAACTTCTAATGATGTGTTGGGTTAACATTTTAGAATAAATAATTTTTTTCCTGAGTAAATACATGAACATGGCTTGTTAAACCCATAACCATCAATTCTGCATGTTATTAGTAATAATTGAATATAATTTCAGTGGCTACTAAAACTGGTCTTGAGGGCCGGATTTGGGCCACGAGCCTGAGTTTGACTTGTTTTTGAGGTTTAATTTATTGCAGCTTGTCTTAAACCTTATCATTTTAGCTTACAGCGTAATAATTGGTAAATTTAAGAAAACACATTATTTAATTGGGCACAATCACACATTTTGTGTGAGAGGAACGCATTGCACATCGATTACAGACAGGAGTGTTGCCACGTTTGGTCAGCTTGGCCTTCGTCAGGCCGATGGCGAGCTGAGGCACTCAAGCCAGCAATAATATTAGCACAAGGACAATAACATTTTATCCATCCATCCATCCATTTTCTTCCCCTTAATCCATTTCCGGGTTGGGGGGATGCAGTCAGAGCTGCACCCAGTACACCAGCCCCTCACTGATCCTCCTGCAGGTGGTGAGTCCACAGGAGCTGAGATCTTTCAGTTGGGGCTTTGGGCAAAGTAGGGTTAAGTGTCTTGCCCAAGGACACATCATCAGTGGGAGTCGTGAAGTAGGTCTTATGGTGGGCTTGAACCCACGACCTTCAGGCCCAAAGGCCAATGCTCTACCAACTGAGCTACTGTCGCCCCTACAATAACATTTTATCACTTTGCAAAATCATCAGAATAACAAATAAAGGACAGATCGACTCGTTCATTATTGTTTGACATCTACAGTTACAAATTCTACCTAAGATGAAGAGATCCTTTATTTGTCCCACAGTGGGGAAGTTTCAGTGTTGCATCACAAGTGACTGTAGGAATGACACAACACTAGAAAAGTGAATATTGAGTCTAGCACAACCTTATACTTAAAATATGTTTTTACAATGAGACATATAGGTTCTAGTAATTACAAGAAAAAGTTCTTCCAGCAGAGGAGCAGGATGAGTCAGAAATAGTGTTAATGAAAATTCTGCGTCTGGCTGCAGTGTATAAGTAATCTAATAAAATATGACCTTCCTGCTCTTGTCTTTGTGCAGATAGCACCAGGTGTTTTTGAATACGTCCCCAGTCCTGTGGACGAGGACGTGAAAGTGAACGTGATCAGAGATACACTTCGCCTGATGGATCCCGGCCGCAAGAAACTAGCAATGTAACGTTTGCACACGAACATATGCACAAGCACACACACACACACTCACACACACACATGCACACTCACACACACACATGCACACTCACACCGGGCTGAGGTTTGAACTTTCGTTTCAAATGCCTTCTCCTCTCAAAGGCCGTTCCCAGTCCTCAGCAGCTCTATATAAACCTGTTAAATGGAAACAAGAAGTGGTGAAAATACTGGACTGGACTTTGGTCTGAAATGTACTGAGTGTGTCTGCACTTTTTGGATTTTTATTTTTGAATTATTTACATATTTTACTTTTAGTTTCCTCTTGCCTGTCAATCGTAAACCTCCCATTTCAGTTATGAAACAAGCTTCTGTCCACTCTATAACAGATATATTAAGAATCTCATTTGTTACTGTTAAAATATCAAATGAGCTTTTTACTATGTTTACATGAATTACACTAAGTACCATAAAGGGACTGGCTGAAACCTAGTTTCTAACATTTGCAATGAGCCGACTTGTTTTTCAAAGTCAATATTGGGATTTCACATGTCCATAATGGGAAGTAAAGATTCATAGATGTCATAGAGAATATTGCAGAGAAAAGTTTAATTGTCTTTCATAAATTACGCAACATGCAATCACTGCATGTACAGATGTACAGATTGTGAATGTAGATATGAGAAGACGTCTCAAACTGGACCAGACAAATCCCAGCTGTATTCTTTGAGCACTGCATGTGTAAGTATTTCAGACTTGGGTGTGTAAAAATCTCAATAGTCTAATTACATGGAGTCCATCTTTGTCCTGTGGGGGAAGTGTGTTTGGCGGATGACTCATGCTCGCAGCGGGCTCAAATGAAAAGATGGCGTCAGATCAAAGTGTTGGTTCACTTTGTCCTCTCCGTGTCCCACACACCTGAAGCATCTCTGTATGAAGCAGAGTGCTTCAGCCTGCTCCCTGCTCTGTGCAGACACAGGGCTCTCTGTGCTGCTGTCAGCAGCTGCAGCAGACGTGCCTGTCCTGTTTAAACAGATACGGCTCATGTCCTTTTGAGCCACTGCTGTGGGATGATTGATGCCGTTAAACATTCAGCAGCTCTTTCTCTCTGCTCACTAATTTATGAAGAGGAAGATGGCCCACAACATGCAACACAACTGTAAACCCAATTGTACAAATATAGCTCAAACATCTGTATTATTTATTTATTAGTTTGTGTATGTGTAATGAGGTGACAAGATCACATGGGGTTTAAGGGTTGAAATTGTGTTGTAATCCTTCATTTAGTAATTGGCTTTACTGCAACAATTGTCCCAGTTTTTAATGTGTGCTTAGATTTTAAACCTGGGGATGATATTAAATTGAGACCAGTGCAGTGTACATCTTGATTCATTAAGTGCTTATCATTCTCATGCTTCACTCCAAAGCCACAGCTGCCATGGAGCAGACTGACAGAAGCAGCGCCAATCACAGCTCATTCATCTCTCAGAAAGAAGCAGTTGTCTGATGGCATTCATACTGTGATTGATTCTTGTTTGAAGAATGTGCTCCTGTGTGTGGAATATAACAATATCATTTTAGCAGTTCTTTTTCAAACATCCAAGAGTCAAAGCTGTGCTGCCTTTGTGCTGTTGATTCTCATTAGCATCATAGCAACAGTGGTGCATGGCAACACACAGCTCCAGCAGACATCAGTCCTCACCTTTTATTGTTTTTTTGACTTCATGCCTGAGATTGGGTACTTAAAAAAAAAAAAAAAAAAAAGAACCAAAATCAACATAGATAATCATTAAATGGAAATAAAAGGATAAAGTAGAGATGTTCCAGTGCCGATACTGGTTTTGGAAAAAGCTCAGATACCTAACTTTTTCAGGTATTCCAGCTTGGTTAAAAACCTCTGATACCAGTATCTGCAAAATCATTCTCATTCAAGAATAGTTTTCTATATCTCTTCAATATTTTTTTAGTTAATTGGTCTAGTATGAATTATCCCTTAGTAAGTGTGTGTGTGTGTGTGATCAGAGCTCTGCCGAAGCCCGCAGGAGATGGAGAGGAGGTTTCGGAGGAGCCCGACTCGCCCACGTCCAGTCCAGAAGCAGTGTTACCGTCTCTGTGTCTCAAACAAGTTTACCCAAAATACACCAAACAGTTCACCTACCTGCGGCTGGTGGAGCGCATCGCCGCCCTCTTCATTCGCTTCCTGGGCGTCAAAGGCAACATGCGCCTGGGCCCCACCGCCTTCAGGACCTTCATCCGGTGGGACTGACTCCACACACGTTTTATGGATCTGTAATATGTTTGTAATGAGTTCAATCCTCATGTTTTACTTCAACCCAGGACCTGCAAGCTGAGCAACAGTGCTTTCACCATGGCCTCTGTGGACATTCTCTACATTGATATCACACGACGTTGGGCAGGAACCCTGGTCGACTCCAGAGAAGCAGGTTTCACACTTTTCAATTGAAAAGTCCGCTTCTGTTGTCGGTTCTTTCTGTGCGTTGTGTTCTTGGACCAGACCCTAACCCTGGTGTAAAGAGCCGAGATCAGAGAAGAACCTCGGCTGGAACGACACAATCATGTGACAAGTATCTGTGCTAATAATATCCATACTATATTATACATATTATACTTTCTCTGAAGGTTCGAGCACATGTGACAAGAGTGAGGTTGGCGCGCACATCCAAATCTGAGTAGCGTGCAAAGAGTAGCAGTAGTTTAGTCCCAAACAGCTTTACAATTATTGTCAGCATTTGTCCTCTACGTAAGGGATAATGTAAATATCGCAGCTGCAATCTGTGTTTTGTGTTTGCAGGAATGGGTCTGCAGGCGTTCGTGGAGGCCTTCTCGTCTCTGGCCTGTCGCAGGTTCAAGTCGGTGTCTCGGCGTCAGCAGGTGGTGGCGCTGCTGGAGCTGTGCGAGGCCGGCGTGTCGGAGGAGCGGCGTTCTCTGAGCTGCAGCCGCGCCCTCTCCGGAGGCAGCAGGTCGGTGACTCGCTCCTCTCACCTGTCGCCGGCCCCTCTGCGGCGAGCGGCGAGCCAGGACCAGCGCCTTCACTACAGGCTCAAAGCTCGCACTCTCAGGGTCAACGCAGACAACTGAGGGACCGCCCACTACATCGCCGCGGCTGCAGAGGTGCATCATGGGAGGACTGTTCACTGTTACACCGGAGCGAATACTGAATACTGGTCACTGTAGTTTTACCGAGCTGCAAATACATCACTGTCTTTTAAAGGTGATGTCCGTAACTTTAATTGTATTTTATTTTTAAACTAATGCAGTGTTGACCATGCGACCCTGTAGTATCGTGTAAATTGAGTATTTTTCAAAGATAATATATTTAATCTAATTTGTCCTTTTGGCACAGAATGGAGAATTGTTAGACCAATGGTGAGGATTTTGAATTCCTTTTGTCCAATCAGGAAGCTGTGGGGGAGAGCATGGGCGGGTCTAACTGGTGCATGTATTTGAAAATGTTCTCTCTTCACAATTGTAAAAAAAACAAAACTAGCCTTAGCGCTGGCACTTACGATGTGCTACTGAGTTTCAAGGATGTATTTATTTGAAATTGCACTTCTGTTTGTTTGCACAGGTTGGATGCGAGTGTGAGTGATTTGTTTTGAGTGTCTTTAGCCCTTTGCAACCCGCACGCCTGGAGGGTCTTCTGCTCTGGTCTGTACCATACATCCAGGTCTCTGCTCCTTCAGCGTTTGTACATTTGAACAATGGGCGAGGGTAAAAAAAACAAAAAAATCTTACAAAAGCTTGAAAGTTCTTATAATTTAACCATGTGTTGTTATTTAGAATTCATGCTAAGATAAATACTGAGCAGATTGAGCTCTAAGGAAAAGTTAAACAATAGCATGTGGTCCTACACTTTGGCCCCAGAGGCAGTTGTACCTGGAGGATCTCCTGCCCCCAGACCTTACACCAGGGGAGGGTCACCTCCAGTCCCTAAAAAGTGTGAGACTGTTCAGTGTTTACAAACGAACAACGTTGAACTCGATTTGTGAAAATAATGACTGTATTTATTTATTTATTATGACTGAACAAAATATTCTGCGCCCCTATATTTATTATTTGTACTTTTACATTGAGATGGCAATTACTTTGAGATTGAAGGTTAAAGAGGTCATTATGAAGGTTATTTATTGGTTAAAATTGCAGTTTATTTGCAAAATAAAAATACTTCCCTGGACTCTCCTGCTGTATCGTACTCGTACCAGCGACATTAAGTTGTTTCAATATGATGAATACTTTTGTGCTTTCATACATATTTCTGTATCACTAATATCTTGACCACTACATGTGTGACGGGCCAAAGACGTGCGTGTTTGTAAAGGGCTTTGTGTTCTGGGATTTAGGGGGAATTGTTTGCACGACTTGTGTCTGTGCATCGCAGCTTCTTAAGCCCATTAGCCGTGAGTTAAGTGAATAAGTATAATACAAATGGAAAAGGCCACTTATCCTGTTTCACTGCAGCAGCTATTTCAGCCAGGCAGCCTCAAACCTTAAGTGGTGAATGAAAAGATTCTTTAGAACAAGAGGTGTCAAACTGCTCCTCAAAGGGCCAGTGTAGCTGCAGGTTTTCATTCCAACCAAGCAGGAGAACACAAGATTCCACCCATTTGGTCAAGGGAGTCCAGTCTTAACCATGGATCTATAGTAATAACTGGATAGGGTGTTACTAGCTTATAGCTGAAGCACCCACGGGGTTGAAGGCTTCCTGTGGTACTGCAGACTAACCGAGACTAAATTTGTGTTGGCTACCTAGAAATGTTCCCCATAGAGAACCTACAGCTTTCAAAAGTCTGATTTTGTGGGGATTTTAGTGTCCCTCGTCATCCTGAATTTTTTTTTGGTGTTAAATCAATTGGTTTTTGTTGGATCCACACTTTAGTGCAACAAACTCTGCTCGTTTTCCTCCTGCTCTAACTCCACTCTGGGTGAAGTAGATAAAGTCTGCTGTACTCCTGCTTGGTTGGAAGGAAAATTTGCAGCCACACGATTAAGCCACTTTCTGTAACCAGTTTGAGACCCCTGCTTTAGAAGTTACAATTAGAACACTAATGATTTGAAATGGCATGGTTCCTCACTTAATGACTTTCGGGGGTTTTCACACTGCAACGTTAGTGTGTGCTCTCACTTATGCAAGCATCATTGATAGATCCATGTTTTAACAAAAGAACAGTCTAACATGACCCCGGGTTGTCAAACTCATTTTGCTCGTGGGCCAAATTGATACTTCTGGCATCAACCATATCTTATCTTGGTGGTGTAATTTTTAGTAGGTTTGAATTCAACCTCAACTGAGAAGTGATGTATTGGAAGACTGCTAGCTAGAACTGTACTAAGACTTCTATTTATATTTTAATTAACATTTTAGAACAGATATAGATTTATGGTTGTTTTTCTGAGACAATAGGCTTTACAATAAAGTATAACATGCCATAGTAGGCCCTTACCATCAATGTTGCAAGTTACTGCCATAGAGTTAATTGAATGTCATTTCAGGGGCCACTAAAGATCATTTTGTGGGCCGTATTTGGCTCACGGGCCTGAGTTTGACATGCCTGCCATAAACTAAGTGGAATAACAGTATTCACACATATTAATAAACATAGTTCCGCTCTTCAAGCTGTTGTTAATCTCGTCATTATCATAAAAAGGCTGTTTGCGTGTGTGTAAATGCAGTGTGTGTTCTAGACAGGGCTGCAGTGTTGAGACCAGACTTCTCCCACTCCTCAGTGTTGGGAATAACAATCAGGCGGAATGTAGGTCAGCCCTGAACCAGCGCCACATCAATGCTTTTGGAGGCAAACTCTTGACATATGCCCATGGATCTAGGCTCATGTGAGTATTTAATGAAAGACCCCATTCTGAGCGTCATTTACAATTCACAAGAACATGATAAAATGAACAGCAGAGCAACAGGCTGAGGTTTAAAATAGCTAAATAAAACTTTAATAGGTCTAGTTGCAAATGTACATACATTGCACAGCCACGTTATGTCAACACAAGTTCTGTACATTATTGTTTTGTCACTGTTGCCAAAGGAAGCAGAATCCAGCAAATACGTAATACTCTCAACATACTTACAAAAGTAATTTCTACAGGATAATAGAAAACATACAACATTATTACTTAGTTCAATTAGTTGGCCTTGTCGTCTGGATTTTTAACAATTGAAGAGTCAAAAGTTGCCGTGACCAAAACACGATTCCAAGGTTTTCTTTATGGACAAAATGGGGCTACAATTGAGAGTTCTGTGTAATCGTCCAAAACATATTTACATACTTAATACCAGAGGGAAAGAAGCTTAAACCGAGCTCGTTATATGGCATATAATAAAATCACTGCTCTCAATATTCTAATTTTTATAAGCATCCATAATTTGTGAAAGATAAAATAAATACATTTCTTTTTACAACAGTTCTTCAAAGTAAAATTCGTATTGTTTCTTGTTTTTTTTTTCAGTTCACAACAATCACAACACTATGTTTGAAGTGCTGCGCTACAAAATTTGCCAAAAACTACAGAACAGAAAAGTGCATAGAGCTAGAGTAAAAGAGGATTGTGCTTGCGAATCTCACTGAAACTGAAGCCCCTCGGACAGTCGGCGAAGTCTATTCTTTAAAACATGAGTATTGATAATAAATCGTTTTTTGGCTAGCGTAATATTATAGAAAGTTCCAAAAAAGACTGAACAGGGACACAGAGAGGCTGACTAAATAGACTTCTACCCGATGAGAGCAGACCACTGACTGGAGCTAGGTATTTACAATATCCATAAATGGTAACAGCAGAGATTTAGGACAAAAACGTTTACAAAAAGTTCTTGTTAACATTACATAAAAATAGTGTCCGCATTTTATTATTTACACGTTCTCGCGCTGTCCCATTGCTAAATACGCTCTGTTAATCTTATATATATTCACTACATAAATCTGCAGCAAGCCGTTTGTCGTTGATCGCCACCGCTTTCCATCGTGCCATAAAATAAGTGGTGGATATTTCACGCTGCTATCGGCTCTAAAACAATGACGAAGCATGCAAAGCCTCACTTTCGCAAATAAGATCTACAAAATAAAAAGGAGCAGCTGGAGGGACATGGGACCTCACGGTAAGACCATGTGTGAGCAGGTATCTTCACATTCAGAACTATGGAGTCTGGCTTCAAAAAGTCCAACGATCGCACGGAACGATAGGAGCACCGGGAAATGGGGGAGTGTTAATGCGGAGATTCACAATTCACCAAAGATTTTTTTGTTTTTTTTTACAGAAAAGGCCTCTACAAAATTTGTCAGAGCACCTTAACCTGGATCCATTCACAAACATCAGTCCCGGAAGATTAGACGCATTATTCATAAAACTTTTAAATGTCTGCACTGCAAAAAATGATAAAATATAAGCTAATATCTGCTTGTTAGATTTTCCAATGGAACAAAGCCATTTAGTCTTTTCTTTCAAGAACTGTTGCTTTATTTTCTCATTCCAAGGGAGACATTTCTTGTATCTTTTTAAAACAAGATAATTTTGCTTTGTGCCATTGGCAAATCTTTTTTTAAGCGCTCAAATTAAGATACATTTTGACAAATTTTTGCAATTTTGACTTGATCCTGGGTCTCTAGGTCAGGCATGTCCAAACCAAGGCCTGTGTGCCAGATGCGGCCCGCTGTGTCATTTCATGTGGTCCTCGGCCTTGCTAACATCATCCAACCAACTTCAGCTCAACCAATACATGTGATATCTCGATTTAAAGCTCAGAACCTCCACTTGTTTTAAAGAGACAGACACAAATTCTATGGACGGTGCTAATGTAGTTCACAACTTCAGTTCCGTCAAAAATGAATCAATATGGAAGTATTGTACCATTTTAAAGTCCGTTTTCAAATCTGTTATCGGCCCCTGGACAAATCTGGTGAACTAAAGTGACCTGGTCTGGGTATCACTTTATCTCCCGCAGTGTGAGAAATAGTAGATTTATATTTAAATGTCTTACATTATGAACATGTACCAACATTTATGGACATTGGTCATCTCGTCCTCTACAGAAATGGCTCGTATGTGTTTTGCTGGTTTAAAACTGTTGTGGAGGAATCTACAACTTTGTAATGACTGCTGTTGAGATCTAAGGCTATACAAAAACACATTTCATTGAATAAAAATGGATGTAACCCGCTTCCTAAAAAGGTTTGGACATCCCTGACCTCAGTAATCGGCAGAACAAAACAAAAATGCAGAAAATCTGTTCTGGCTGCATTCACACAATTTGTAGGGTATTCTAGGAGATATTTTACTTTAAAGATGGACATTCTGGACCCTCTACAGATAAATACAATACTCATTCTTTCTATCATACACACATACATAAAATCATTCCTCAATCCACAAGTCCAAACTCAGATCAATCATTTCTTAAACGCCCCTGAAATCCACATATTCTGTCGGTGATCTCATCGTTCCGTGCAACTTGACAAAAGCTCGGACAGAATCACAGCAGGTAAACGTCTTTGTCGCCTGGCGCAGAGCGGAGGAGCGGCTCGTAGTTCCAGTGTACGGAGTCTCTGGATCGCCGCGGCGCTGTCGGAGCCCGGAACACCCGCTATGAGCTAATTTATGTTTACCAACAGGCACGGAGCCCCGGGGGGATTGAGATTTCTGTAAAACACGCCGCATACTGTTTGTAAAGGGCTAAAGCAGAATGAAGCAGCACTAGTCTTCTCACGGACGCGTGGGTTTGTCCTCTCCCCCTGGGGCTTCGGACCGCACCAGATAGCAACGATATGAAAATGAAAAACTTACCACCTGAAATAAAGGGAGCCATTTTTACATTTGACATTATCAAATATAGCTATGAGTGTATGACTATAGAAGAAAAATTCATACATCTATATTAAAAGTTCTTTTTTTTTATAGAGTTATCACATAGATTTTAGTATACAGTTTGTGTAACAACCAAAGTCCACAGTATAAGTTGTGCCTTTTTTTGCAGGAGGGGATTGTAGGTAAAGAGTGGTGTGTGTTTCTTAAGGCGTTTCATGTACCAATAGCTTTTCTTTCACAAAGTGCACTCGATAAAGATGGTAAAGACAGAGAGAGAGAGAGAAAGAGAGAGAGCGTTCAGAGGAATGACCAGTAGATTGTTTTGGATTATAAATAATTTAAAAAGCTCCTATTTGGTTCCATAAACAATGAAAATAAAGCACTAATCCTCTTTAGTTAGAGCGAGAGAATCCGTGATGGGGTCCCACTTGTAGAATGGAGAGGAGAGACTGAGGAAGAGGAGAAGGGCTCGTTCGGGGGGAGACCAGGTCCAGTCAATCTTGGATCGATCATCATCACTTCCTCTCCCGCAGTGTGAGAAATTGCAGATTTGTTGTCCTTTCATTTCTTTCTATATATACACACACACGCGCGCGCACACACACAAGCTCTCTCTTGAAGGCTGTCTGGTGATCGGTCATGCTCACATCCACATCCTACTTTTGGTCCTTCTGGCGAAAATAAAAACAGCCCAAAACGACGCAAATGTTTTTTTTTTCTCCGTGACACGACGCATGCTGGCTGGCCCCCCCTCCCTCCTGCATGCATTCGGACGTCTCTCTCTTTTTGTTTTTTTTTAACAGTTGCTGCTGTTGCGAAACTCTCCGTTCTCCGTGATCTGCAGCTTGGTGGGGTTGGTGGGCGAGATGCCGTTCCGAGTTTGCATGCTGTAGCGCTCTTTCAGCTGCGTCAGGGCGCTCATTAGCCTGGCGTTGGCCGCGTCCAGAGACTGGATTCGCTTCTCCTGTAAAAAAGAGAGATAAAGAAAAAAAAAGTGTGCAATAAACGCCAGGAAGGGAAAGTCCACAAATCTTGTCAAGTTGGCTCGGAGACGTAACTTGACGGGAGGGAGGGGGAATAAATAATACATGTCTGTGTCGTGGAGGAGGGGGAGGAGACACAGTTCTGGAGTAAAAAAAAACCAAACAAAATTTCAAAAGAAGAAGAATCTGACCTGGGCATCTATCATCTTCTGCTTGGAGTCCACCACGGCCTGCATGTCTGAGTGGTCCTTCTTCAGCTCCTCTTCCACCGACATCAGCCTGCGTCAAAGGCAAAATGTCTTCTTTATAAAAATACACATATTGATTTGCGATTAAAAGCACTCTTGCGGCACTAAATCGCAGATGCCCGAGACTTTAACCTGATCAATCCTATCTAAGTTTGACGTTTTATTGTGCCGTGATTTATGCTATGGTCTGCTCGGCCGGTTTTAATCACAGCAAAGTTTCCGACGGTAAAGATTTGACTTCTGGACGCACTGAACTGCCAGCCAGCTGTCTTAGTTTGAATCAAAAAATGGGATGGATTCTTTTTTCTCAACACTGTCAGTTTTTATAAGATTGGGAAAGACAACAAAAACACTTAAACTAGAGTGTGTCTGTGTAACCATCCATGAGTAAGGATTACAAGAGTGTGTTTAAACTGCTTTGCTTCAAATTGTTTCATCCACTTATACCATGGTCAACACACTCACACATTCATAACTTTTCCTCTTCACTCTCAAAAACTGAGGAAAACTGAGGACTACTTGATTAACCAGCAAAAGCTCCTTAGCAACTGTTGCCATGATCAAAATGTAGACTGACACAGATTTATCAAAATGATAAATATTTAGCAACTTAATTCAACCTGCTGATGACGTATCACAGACCTTTAAAAGTAACTTTATAATCCAAACAAAATTAACCGTTTGTGCTCAGTGCTGTGTGTTGCCACGGTGACCACTTAGAAGAATTTATCCAATGTCCAATAGGTCTGGCATGCGCCTCCTGTACTGGCGACCCCGCTCCCATCTCTGTGTGGAGTGAGAGGACAAGTGCCCAAAAATAACAATTGTAAACCGCTTTGTGACTCTGGTCTGTGAAAGGCGGTATATAAATAAAGCTTAAAGCTTAAAGCTTATATGGAGCCTGTTTTTTACCATGAGATTTAAACATGGGGGTTGAGGGAAAACTTTGTCCAGGAGCACTTCCCTATTGGGCTAAATTGAGCTAGCAGGTTAGCATTGTCCATCTATATACAGTGTACGTGTTGGAACAGTATTAATCCTTGGTGGTTTGTATTAGAATCCTCACTCACCTTGAGATACATTTGCATTTATACCAAGTCTAAAATCTGAAGGTTGAATTTTCCGTTATTGCAGAGGTGCCTTTGCTGCGTTGGGTTTGGACAAAACAGAGTGAGCTCGTTGTAGTCCCATAATCACCACCAGATGAACGTGATAAGCTAGTACTGCCCTCAAATGATTGATACAGAAATATCATGAAAAACTTTTATGGGATAACTATGTGATACACCTCGAGTATCACAATATTTAAATTGTGGCCTCTGTATCGTGAGGCAGGTGGAAATTCTCAGCCCATAATCTGGTACCTATGGTCTGTACTATGGGGAGGGAGCAGGTTTCACTTCTGCCATCTACTGGTGAAAATGAGTGGGAAAATCTGGATCTACAGCCTCAATTCTGATTCTACAGCTTCAAACCTGGTACTACGGCCCCAGTCCTGGTTTTATAGCCTCAATCCTGGTTCTACAGACTCAGTCCTAGACCTATAGCCTCAGTCCTGGTTCTACAGACTCGGTCCTAGATCTACAGCCTCAGTCCTAGATCTACAGCCTCAGTCCTAGACCTATAGCCTCAGTCCTGGTTCTACAGCCTCAGTCCTGGTTCTACAGCCTCAGTCCTAGATCTACAGCCTCAGTCCTAGATCTACAGCCTCAGTCCTAGACCTATAGCCTCAGTCCTGGTTCTACAGCCTCAGTCCTGGTTCTACAGACTCAGTCCTAGATCTACAGCCTCAGTCCTAGATCTACAGCCTCAGTCCTAGATCTACAGCCTCAGTCCTGGTTCAACAGACTCAGTCCTGGTTCTACAGACTCAGACCTAAATCTATAGCCTCGGTCCTGGATCTACAGCTTGATTCCTGGTTCTACAGCCTTTATTGGCCTCTCACCTGCTAATGATACTCTTCATCTGGAGGTCCTTGTCGTCCTGCTGCCTCCTCAGCCTCTCCTCGGACTCCTCGAGCCGGGCCTGGTAGTCCATCAGGACCTTCTGCGCCTGCTCGTCCTGGCCCTTCAGGCGCGCCTCGTACTCCTCCAGCTTCTGCACGGACGCCCGGAGCTTCTCCTGCAGCACGGCGATCTCCTGCTGATACTGAAAGCACAAGTAGGTAATTCATCTTTATTTATATAGCGCATTTACACAGACCAAGGTCACCTCGAAGCTCTTTACAATGTACAAGGCGTCATCAGCATTGGCCTCACGGAAACTTTCATTAAAACTGAGGATGGGTGGATTCATTTGGATTCTGTTTTTTCTTTCTTCCATAATATTGTTTGTAAAAAAATATACTAAAATGCAGCCCGTAAAACTATGAATATATAGCGCTTGCAGTTGAAATGAAGTATAAAAACACACACAAAGACTTGATAAATCCACAGACAATAATAAAAATGATATCTTATCGATGGTTTAGAAACTGAAATAGTTCAGTTTAGATCAGTTCAGATATAGTTGAGCTCAGAGCGATACACACGGTCGGCCCTCTGCCTTGTACTTTGGTGTTAGCCAGGAGATTTTATACTTATGCTAAATTTAGAGATTTTATTTATTTTCGTTTAGCGTTATAAAGTAAGGGTGAGTGCATTCAATTGGAATGTTTTTGTCCATAATGTTTGTGACAATATACTATAGAATGCAGTACCCTAAAGCTACATATATAAAATTAATGACATTTGCCGTTAAAATAAAAAATATATGCACACAAGGACTTGATAAATCCACAGACAAAAATATCTAATCTGTGGTTTAGAGACTGAATTAGTTCAGTTCAATTGTTAATTTGAGCGCAAAACAATACATACAGTTGACACAGTACAAACAAGTCATCAATATTTGAAAGAGTTGGCAGAAGTTATAAAATATATATAATTACTAAGCCCTTTGTTGCATAATTACTTATTAATTGTATGTTGTCAACGTGAAGTTAAAGATGAATTATCAGCATGTGTTCTCTCTCTGCAGTGAAAACATACAACTAATGTTATCAATTCTCTTTTAGCAGCATCAAAGTGGCCTGCAGGAGAACAACACTCGGGCTGTCAGTCTCTTCTATCCAGGAGGAAAAACTCTGGAACTCTCTAAGTCCTCAGCTTGACCTGAACTTGGACTGGACTGGTTTTAAACACAAACTGAAGAAATACAGTTATGTGGCCGTCTATAAACCTTCCTTTTTATAATAATAACAATAATAATGCATTAGTTTTATATAGTGCTTTCCAGGACACTCAAGAAGGTTCACATGTCGTCATTCTTCTACTCTCTTCACGGTGGTGATAAACAACATCAGTTTAGCACGCTCCATCTGTAGCCGCCCAACTGTGGCACCTGATGTTCCCAGAGGTCTACCATCACAGTCCTAACCAAAATACATAACATAGAATACATTTAAATTAAATCTTCATAATAGCCATGGCTTGTTTTGTATCCTCAGTGAACTGTATTCTCCCCTATTGTGCTAAAGTGAAGCTGTCAACATGTCAGCTGATATAAAGTGCCTTTTCCTTTCTGTTTTTTTCAGATAAACAGTGTCAAAAGAGCGTAATCGCAAAATAATACGCTTGCCGTTTGAGCGCTTTTGTTCTTTGAGACACGTGTCAACACTGAAACTTGATTTAGACACAAAACCAGTGTTTTCATGTTGCTCCTAACAAACACAATCATCACTACCGCCACCAGGGGGAGGTAATGACATGTTCAGAGACAAGAAACAAATGATTAATGTTATATTTTGGCAGTAATCTGTCTAGATCTGGGGTGTTAGTTAAAACAGACTTGTCCAGGGACTGACGACCCAGGCCGTAAAACCATTTTGACAGGATTCAGTCTGTTCCGTCCTTTTAAAACGAGGTAGGACATGTCTGTATTGATTCATGTTTGACACAGCTGAAGTTGGCTGAATGACATGTTTGCTATCTTACAATAGCTCCTTGTACTAACTGTTGTGACACAATCAAAAGCAAATTTCCATATTATAAATTTCTCCATTGTAAGATCAATAAAGTCTTACCTTACTGTAAATATACAAAAAAAGTCAATGGCTGGATGCTAGAGCTATCCAATGGGGTATAGCATGCATATATTGTTTAGGGGTGGGAACCTAAGGGTACCTCACGATACGATACGATACGATACACGATACAAAGCTCACGATAACGATATTATCACAATAACGATATTATCACAATAACGATTATTGATATATTGGTCAGAAATATACAATATGCCAATTTATGGCATAAATAAAAGAAAAAATACACTTTATTTCATGATAAATGGAATGGAGATGCGTAATGTAGCCATATATTAAGTATTGATACCAACAAACAAAAAAAAACAAAAAAATCGATATTGATACTTGGCAAATGCATATCGATAATCGAATCGCGGGAGAAAGTATCGCGATATATCGTCACACCCCTAATATTGTTAGAGCTGAAGTTGGCTGGATGACACTGTGAACTTTGGCTTCTGATTTCAAAGTTGTTTGCAAGACAGAGGGCCACATGACATGACAGAGAGGGCCGCAATTGGCCTGTGGGCCTTGGTTTGGACATGTCTGGTCTCAATCTGGTCTAGAGATTTTATACTTGCTACTTTATTATGCTAAAGCTAGAGAGATTTTATTTCATTTTAGAATAGAGTTATTGTTTACTTATCTATTGCTGTGTGCTCCTCATTCCTACTGTTTTGTAACTGGTGATGCAACACTGAAATTTCCCCATTGTAGAACAAACAAAGGATAGTCTTAATCTTAATCCAGTATTATTTTTAAGGGATGAAACAGATCCTCCTGGTGGAAGTCTGTGCTCAAAGACTGTTTTCTTTCTTCCGTTGTGTCCAATTAAACCGGATACCTATGGTTACAACACTGCTTTATATAAAACACGAGTTATTCGATGACGTCGCGCGGCATCTGCTGAAGTGGACCTCTCGACACAAAAGAGTCGAGCCGAGCTTCTCACGTCTCCGGGTTCTATATAAAGTTCCATTGTCGGGGAAAAGAAAACCCATGCTTCAGGGCCAAACATCATCACGGGGAGAGTGAAACGTGACCATACAGCTGTCTGTCGTGAGAGGAACGTGTTAGTTAGCATTACGAGTGCACTTAGCAACAAGGACGCCAAAGAGAGCGCACACACACACACACACACACACACACACATACATACATACATACACAAACACATTTTCCTTTGCTTGTTGGCATTTCATTACAAGTTCAGAAGATGCTTAGTATTTCAGTTAGGAGCAGAGACCTCTTTGAAGTCTGTGTGTTAGGAAAAAAAAATCTGGTTTATTGGATGCGAGTGAAAAGTGGTAGAGGAGTTAGCGGAGAGATGGCCTTGCTCCTCGGCTGGTGAGACCTGTGCTATTGAGCTCATTGTGAAAGCTGTCAGGGAGGAATGTGGCAGGCGCGGCAAAAAAAGCAAAGCAGAGGGAGGACGCTGGTTCAGGCAGGATGAGAGGAGGGCTCGGCAGAATGCACGCACACACACACACACACACACACACACACACAACAAAACATGCTATTTTTAATTGGTTGAAAAGAAACGTGACGATCCACACAGGCCGTGAAATACTACTTCTGCTTTTGAATAGTGGTGGGCTGCTAAAGACTCGGACAGAACTGACCAAGAGACCATGGAGATGTTTTTTGGGTTCTATAGTAAATTTTCTGTGTTTCTATTTTATATTTGACTGTTTTTTTGTTTTTCTTTTCGACTCACTGGGTCTAAGGGCAGTGATGTTCCGGGAATTTTATGAACATCATCCCGCTAACCCTATCATCCCGCAATGGCTCTTTTATCCAATTATTGCATTTCTGTGTTCAAACTGTTTCATTTCTTACCCTATTGTTCGCGAATCATTAACTTTGAAAATAAATTGACTTGAATTGAATAGCGAACACTTTAAACTAATACTACAAATGACGTCCACTCCTTAAAAACCCGCATTCATAATGTAAGTGGGCTCTGCATAAATCTGATTGGTGGCCTGTAGTTTGTCTGTTATGTCTGCTTGTCTCCTTGGAAACCGATCTGAAGATTAGACTGCACCGATTTATGTTATGAATGAATTATCACCCATTGGGTTTTGGGTTCAAGGTTTAGCGTCAAATAAATTGTGTTTATGTTTTCCAGAGATCATTCGTTTTAAAATGAGGTATTACATCATCATGAAATCCGTGCAGAGCGGGGAGACCTTTGTACCTTTTTCTAATACATTTGAGAGTAAGAAAATATCAGGCAAACAATTATTCAATTCTGCTGTTTTTTTGTGTGCCAGTTTTTAACAAATACGGCACATATTCATTTAATCATGTAATTGTTTTAGTTTGTCGCCAATTTTGTCAACACAATTGTGACAACTCTATCTATACCACTGCCGAACATAACAAACAACGCAGAAATATCTCCAAACAGATTAAATATTATCCGAGTTCTATACAAAACGATTAAGGACAGTTGTTTTAAGTTGTGAATGATCTTTCGCGCCGGTTTTAAGAATGCAGTTAAAGGAGGACATCGAGAAACATTTCTCAAACTTTTGATTGCGATAACTTTGTGCAACTTTTTGCTGACTATAAAAATCACAAAAGGCAGCCATGAATAAACCTTGCACACCCAAAAAAACTAAAAAACAAAATCCATCCAACGCTGTGCCTTGCTGTCATGGTCGGTTTGACTAAAACGCTTTGAAGACAGATATGGACTGAGAAGAGAGGATACAAAGGAGAGTATTCTTAGGAGGAAAAAAAAAAGAAGGAGACTTGGGAGAAGGCAGGAGAGGAAGGAGAAGTATTTGATCTTGGATACTTTTGATTTACCTTTTCCACCTGAGTGAGATCCTCCCTGTTTCTCAGTGGCTCCATCCCCTCCTGGTCTAAATACTGCACATTCAAATTCAATAGCCAGGCTGCTGTACGGTCCAGAGCATTGGGGTTCACTGGGGAGGGGGCCTATAGTGGAACCAACACAACACACACAGACACACACACAACACACACAAACAAGCGCACATGAGCAGGGTGCAAAGTGATGGGAGAGGGAGAGGCAATAACGGCACAACAGAAAATAAATAAATACAAAATAGCTGGAGCTGAAAGCAGTGGGATGGGGTTCGCACACAGTAAACAAGTGGAGGTGAGTGAACCAGGGATGTAAACAGAGCGGAGGAGGCTTGTATGTGTGTGTGAACGCCATTTCCTCTTTTCGGACATTAAAATATATTGCATTGCTGCCATGTACGGCCATTTTTTCTAAGTGGACAGCGTTTGACTTCACCTCATTCACATTCATGCGTTTACAATGATGGTTTATTGACCGTTTTAGAGCGAGGATGATGTAGCCTCTAAAATGTGATTGTGTTGTAAAAGAAATGAAGAGGTCCTTTGCAAACACAGATATCTCCATTTTGAAAATGTGTAACTTGAGGAATGAAACTTCTGGACAATCTCCAACGTGTTTTCTTGTTGAGTCAATTTAAAAGAATTTGTTCGAGAGGGAGAGAAACGTCATTTGTACGACGCTAAAATAGAGCTGGCTTTTCAAAAAACTTTTTTTTCAAAGAACAAATTGTAAGCCTTTCAAATATCTTTTAAAATGGCACTCACCAGTTTTGTATTGTTAAGGCAGTTTCTCGTCATTCTGAAATGACTGGATAACAATTTTGGTGCAACCATTGTGTCGTGAACTGTAGGGATAATACTATGAGTAGTATCTCCAAATTGTTTTTATTGACAACACATTTCACATGTCTGAAGCATAGACCGGGCCTTTGGGGCTGCTGCTCCCAAACTCTGGAATAGTTTATGGATTTGTAAATCTAGTCTTGTGTCTTGGCTCTTAACACCAACTAAGTTGTACTGTTTTACATTTTCCTTGTATTTTTGTGTATACCATGCTGTTTTCTTTTTACTCATTGGGCAGCTTTTTGTTGTTGTAAATGTAAATGCAAAATTTGTCCTCTTCATTTGACCCATCCTGAGGCTTACGTCAGGAGCAGTGGTCGTCTTATTACAGCACCCAGGAACCCATTTGCAGATGTTGATGCTCGGCTTGGTCAGGACTACCGGACTACATTATGCAAATGTTGTTGGTAGTAATGGCCAAATCGCCACGCGCCAATCAGGAGCGCCGCTGGGTCCTACTCATGCAACTTACTGACTAAAGCCGTCAAGAAGGCTCCTGATTGGTCATTTGTCAGGGCTTGTATCTGCATTTACAATGATAATAACACAATAAAAACACCAGGATCATGCAGAGCTAAACTACGGATTCTTAAAGCCAAAAATAGTGACTCATTAGCTTTATTGAGCTAGAGGGTTAGCATTGTTTGTCTTTAGGCAAGACACTTCATCCACATTGTCTAGAACGAGTCTGGTGAATGGTTGACTGTGGTCGGAGGGGCCAATGCCACATACTAGTTGCCTTGCTTCTGTCAGTTTGTCCCAGGGAAGCTGTGGTTACAGTAGTGTATGGAGTGTTAAAATACTGTCATCTGAAGCATGCAAAAAAAGCACTTTAACAAATCGATTAATTATTACCATCCATCTATATACAGTTTATGGTCTGAAGAAGAGCACCGCCTGAAACGTCACATGTGAACACAATAGTTTGGAGCTATAACTGCTACTACTACTGCTGCCAGATCTTTTGCCTTAGCTTTTGACCCAGCCACAGCCACAAGCGTGTGTCTCTTTCTACACAAACATTGAGAAATGCCGTATCATTCATTTGGTGACACTTTAATATTGTTGTTGTTGTACAATCCATAAAGCCCAGATACATTTGAGTGGATATTGTACTCCAACACACATGCCCAGTGTCGAATGATGGACCGATACAGTGTGAGCATCCATGCCATCACTGCACCGATGCAGTCTTTCCGCAGGCTGTTCCCGTGTCCTTGGATACAGTCATTCTTTGTGCACTTGATCGCTTATACTTAATAAGATGCTAATTATTCCTTCAGCACCCCCATCCTCAGCCCATTAAGGGTGACCAGTAAAACAGTGGTGAAGTGATGAGCTGCCACTATGCAAATTACTGTTATTACATGCACCATAACAATCGTTCATTAGGGCACAATGTCTAGATTATCTTGACAATTTCTCCAAAAGCCTCCTATGTTTTTGAACCAATTGCCCTCTTTATTGCAGTTGAAAAGGAAAAAATTGATAATTCATTCAAAGTACAAACAGTCGTTACCAGTTGCTGTTCCAAGAGCATCTCGACAAGGAACCTCCCTCTTTCAGAAAACATATTCTAAGGGCAAACTGACACCACAAGGAAAGTATGCAAGCTTGATAAGTACAGTCATAGATCAGTACTTCCACAGAATGTTTAGCTACAACAACTAGGGTTGGGCGATATCTTTTTTGTACCGGTATACCGGTATAAGTAAATTAAATGATAAGAAAATGCCTTATACCGGTGAAAACGATCATTTAACACTGAAAACAGCGAGCGGAAGACAAGTTTGTGTGCGGCGCACTTTGATGATGCATCTGCGCGACACGTGTAGCAGAGCGGCGTGCAGGGACAACAACAACAGAGCAGAGAGCAAACATGGCTGAGGGCGGCGGTGAAGACCATGGTGAAGACATGCAGATTGTAGAAGACATTGTGCCAAAACGCGGAGCTACCTCAAACATATGGGAGTAGTTTGGGAACTAGATAAAAAGAAGCAATTGTGTGTAACTATCGACAGTGGATCTAATGTTGTGGAAGCAGCTGCAACAACTGGACTCGAGTGGCTTGCTTCGGACACTCTCTCTCTCTCTCTCTCTCATAGTGCCATTGGTAAGCTTTATTTACTGTTTACTGTCATTCATTTTACTTCAATGCATGTGTTTGTCTACATTGCAATATAATTACAAATAAGTTATAATTACATAATTATAGAAACGCAAAAGGATACAAAAAATATATACAGTATTTGATCATTTTGACTATATTGGGATTAGGAAACATAAGCCAAAGTGATCAAATAATTATTTGATAATGCTACACTTTTTATATTACAAAGGACAAACTTTTATATATTTTACAAATTACAAATGTTCACCTTTATTACATGTTGCCTGCAAATTTCAGTATGTACAAAACAAAATTCTCTACAATTCAGTTTTGTTAATACGTTTTATATACAATAGCTGTATTACACATTTTGCTGCCAATAAATCAGTAAATGCACTTTGAGGCAAGTGTGTTTAAAATTATCAGTGCTAAGTTTTTATAGCTTTTATATGAGGCTTTGTTCAAAATATCATATCGTCATATCGTGATACATACCAACAAAAATTGTGATACATGCTGAGGCCCATATCGCCCAACCCTAACAACAACATCATAAAAAATCAAGAAACAAAATAAGTGAATGTGTAAGTTAACCAAGAGGGGTCCAACACGTAAACAGAGTTATTGTTAAAAAGCGCTCTTAGGATCAAGCCACAAAAACATGTTAGATTGTGTATATATTCATTCACACAAAATGGCGGAAAGCAACCACTGTAGCCGCAGCTGCCTTGCCACCGGACCCTCTGCTCTGACCAACACCAACCATTCTCTCGCACCAAATTAGGCAATGTGGGTCAAAATCATTATATATGCAATCATATTATATCTATCATATAGATATAATATGATTAGGATTTTTTTGCATGGCTTTATATCCCATTTTAAAAACTTGTTTATTACTTGTTTGTGCCATAAACCTTTTACTTACAATACTAATACAAATAAGTCAGTTGCCAAAGGACCCAACAACAGATAAGGACTTTACAGCCTCAACCGCTCCAGTGTGATACCTGGTATTTCTAGCGGTCTGCTAACCAAACACTAACCAGAGAGCATACTGTACATACTGTACATACATGTAAGACCAAATCTCATAATGAAAAACTTGCAGAACACTTGAAGCCAATTGTTATATAGGCCAAGGGTGTCCAATCATTTGTTTGTGAGAGGGCCACTTAAGTTAACCAGACTTGTCCAGGACGGAGGAGTAAAACTGTAGTGTAAAACTGTTCTGACTGGATTCCAGCTGAAGTTGACTGAATCTAAACAATTATGAAAAGCCATCTTATTATTATTTTAAATGTATTTTTTCCCCATGATCACAAATATATGTTGGAATTTGTCAAACACAGTCAATGACAATATTGAAAAAAAATAGCTTTACAATGAGATATTGCATGTTTGTATTTGTATTTATTTAATCTTTACTTAACCACTGTGATACGGAACCTCTTTTGCAAGGGAGTCCTGGACTGGAGTGGTGGAGTCGAAGTGAACTTGATGACACTGAATGCATATTTATGATTGCAATCACTTATTTTGGGTTTATCAAAGCAGAGGGCCACGTAAAAATGACACAGTGGACCGCAATTGGCACCCGGGCCTTAGTTTGGATATGCCTGATATAGCTCTTATATCTTTGAGAAGCTGGCCTTGGATCAGCAACAACCGAAGAAGGTCCCTAACATGTGACATCAACAACATCTCATTCACATCAGTGCTCCTCACCTGCTTGTGCTGTGGTCTGTGCTTGGTCTCTGGACTGTCCCCTTTGGAGGAGGACGACTGCTGCCTTAGCCGCGCTCCCGTGGGCCAGTCGGGCGAGGAGGTCATCATGGTCCCCGATGAGGGTCTGGGGTACGGGCCGCTGTTGAGCAGATTGGGAGGCGTGCGTCTGCTGGTCATGCTCTGCGGAGGCGGCTGGTCTATCCTCCTCTGCGGCCCCGCGCTGTTCTGCCTCGGCACGGCGGGCTGGTTCTGCGCGTCTCCAAGTGACATCTGGCGGCGTGCGAACTCCCCAGAGCGCCGGGTGTACTCGTCCCCACTGCTCCCGCCTCCCCCCACCCCCTGTGTCATGAACGTGTGCTTGCCAGTTAAGTCCTCGTTGTTGCTGTGCGAGCTGACGGAACTGTGGCATTCTGAGCCAGAGTCGTTTAAGCCGCGAGGAGAGACGGGCAAGCAAGCTGCCATTTGGTAGACTGGGTTTTGGAAGGAGAGGGGTGCGAGGAGCTGTCCCGGGCGCCCGTTTGTGCCCTCCGTGACGGGGGTGGTGGGGCTCTGGCTTGGTCTCCACAACGTTGGGCCTCCAGGGATGTTGTTCTGCGGAGCTCTGGTGGTCCAGCTCACACCGTTGGCAGGTCCTTCGCCCAAGCCGTCGGAGGAAGTGGGGCCAGGACTAGTCTCCAGGATGCGGGGGTCTTGAAGGTCCACCATTGACAAGCTCTTACTGCCGTTGGCCATTCCCAGGTCAGGCTCGTTTGTTTCAGAGTAGCTTGAGCTCCGCGCTGGAGAAGGCTGAATCCCTGAGCTTCTTGTCACAAAGAACAGGTCTTTATTTTCTGGCGTTGGGGAGGGTAATCTAGTGAAATCCACCAATCTGAGGGAGAAAACATACAGAAAATGAGGTGTGTGGTTTAACTTGGTGACTGGTTATAGTAAAGTGTTATGCTATTAAAATCTGGGAAGATTCAAAAATGGTCATTAGATTGTATTATTGATGATAAGCTTGTTGGTGCTTGGGCAGAGGACATTTCCTGAAGAGTAGTGTGCTGGGATGAATAAGCTTTAGGTCCCCCACCAAGTGGGCTTGTGGGTTTGTGATTGATGTATCAATATAATTCAATCCAAATAAACCCATATGTACTACCCAAAGAAATCAAACTTTCCAGTAAATGATAATATACTGTTGCATCTATATCATTATAATTCCCCTCACATACTGTATAACTTTAATAACTCTGTTTCTCCTTCATTCTCAATGTCTTCTATTTCCTAATCTTGTCTGGCCTCTTTTTTACTTGTCACCATTTTCTGGACAAGAAGCAATTAGCTGAGAATTGGTCAGAGCTTCTGCATTTGTTATCTTCTTTGAGCAATCAGCTTGTGTAATAAAGTAAAGAGATGGGGTTTGCAGATGACCTCATTGGGACATCCATTCATTAATAATATTGATTGATCTTCTCTTGAGACCAGACTGAAAGTAAAGGTTTCATGCATCAAATTTCCATTTGAACTAAACTAAAGTTGCAAAGTTGTGGTGATGCGTTTGGCTTCGCCTCGCAGTTGCTGGGATGGGGATTCGGAGAATTGGTGATGAGGGAGAAAAGCGGTCGTGGGTTCTTCTCATGGGAGTATAAGAGTTTTTTATCAAGTTCATGTAAACAAGTGCAGACTGAACGGCTCTTGTGTCAAAGCAAGGAATCCGAAAGCTAAGTGAATGACTCCTAACCTTGTTTTTCGGACATTTTGTGATTTTTTTCATGTTTGGCCACCTAGTGCGCGCCCACTCCTACGCACCTGTCAGAGAAGAGATGTGCGAAGTCTACCTCTTTTAGTGATTTTTTTACTGAAAGATGTTCAAGTAGATTGAAGATGATCCAGATTTCAAACATATCTCAAAATAGTATGCAGCCCTATTGCCATATCGCTTTACTGGTGAGAATTAAAACTAGTATGACGTGATCGGAGAAGACTATGGGAGACGGCAGTTTGGAGGGGATTCTTACCCTGAGAGGTCATTGTCTATCACCATCTTCTGCAGGCCCGTGGAGATGCTGCAGCCTGCTTCGGCCGGGGGCGAGCCCATATGTTCTGTGGACTGTCCCGGAGTCAGCTGCAGACTGGACGGATTTGTCAGCGCTGTGGTCACTTCTCGTAGGATCCTGGGCAGAGGTCCGAGTTTGGACGTGGCACTCTGCAAAGACACAAATTCATCCAAATGCAATTCTAAATTATTATGATTAATTGATGTGTTTTCAGCCCATTTATAGACCGCATTATTTTCCCTGAAGCAACCCATCTTGGCATCAATGCGCCAACACAGAAAACACACTGAATAATGAAAAAGCCTGGCCAGTCTGATGGACTTAAGTATTAGCCAAGTACCAGGATTTGTGAATTATTGAAGACAGGTTGGATACTCCCCTTGTCTCATTATCACCCCTTAGCCATTTCCTACCAGATCCTTCTTTAAAAGTCCTTGTAAAAAATAAACCCATTAATAGTAGTTCCCATAACAAGTGATTTCCCAGCGTACACTATTTATGTAATGCAATGTAATGAATTATTGATTTCTGCATGATAAGCATCCTCCTAATGCAGATCAAGAACATTAAAAAGCTCAAGCTGTGGGACGCAATGGAACCAATTTTGATTCCATCTTCTAGTAAGATACCAGAAAATAATGAATAATGCATGCGCCTGATTGAGCTGTCTAGAAGTCTATGGCGGCCGGTTCTTACCTGATCCATCTGGGAGACCACTTCGGAGAGGAGCGAGTGCAGCGTGGAGAGCTCGCGGCCCAGGTCGATGTAGCCTTCGAAGCCGGCCGTGTTGGAGATTGTCTCAGGGTTGGAGATTTCCAGGAGAAAGCGCTGCATGTTCGTCCACTCGTGCTCCAGGAACTGGTTCATGAACGACATGTACTCTTCTTTGTTTCCAAATCTGAAGAATTGTTGGAAGAAGAATGATGTCAATTGCAGGTGCGTGCCGAGAGAACAGCTAGTTATAATTGTGAATTGTACGCAAATCAAAAATGTCTAAATACTAACACAAACACCCTGAAACATACTGAAAAAGCCATATTGGGAACAAGAGCTGAAGAGTTAAAATCGCATCAACCAATCAACAAAAGCCTGGAATGGAAATGGTTCCTATTTATAGAAAAAAACAAATGGCAAGAGAAAACCAAAATATTACTATTTTACAAAATTAACTTTTTTTGAATAATATTTTCAGCAGCGTATTTCATGAAAGTGGCTTAAGCCGCTCTGGAAAACTAAAATGGTATTTAATCACACATCAAATATTAAAATGATGATCTATTTAAAGTTAATACAGTGGTCCCTTGTTTATTGCGGGAGGATGATTTTCTACTTCCGGGTGGATCATCAAGACTATTGGTCCTCCCAAGTGTCAATTATTCTGGTGATACATGCTTGTCAAAAAAGACCAGAGAGTTTTGTTCAAAAAGTGGAGAGGACAGTTCTTTCCAAAAATGGGAGTAAATCCTCTTATAAACCTTTAAGTTAAAAAAATATCTTCAAAGACAAATATAAATTAAAAGCTCAATATTTTGAGGCACTTTTTACTTGCGACCTTGCGTGTCAAAAAAAAAAGAAAGTATTATTATTATTATTATGTTGTTGGAGTAAAGCTATTTCAATGTTCTGTGTGTGTGCTTTTTTTTAAAACTAACACCAACATTCCCGCCACTGTGGGACAAGATAATGGTTCTAATTTTACAAAATCTCCGCACCCGCAAACTAACTATGTGAAACTCACCTCTACAACAAACCGACAAACTTCATCTACATGCTCCCTGTACGAGTCCAATCTCAAAGGGTACATACTTGGTGAAATTGGCCAGGTTCTGCGTGACTTTGGCGATGAGTGTGAGAGTCCGTGCCGTGCGGTCGTCGGGGTACTCTTGCATCAGATTGAAAAGCGATGGCGACATGATTGAAGGACAGAGGAACCTCAGGAACAGGGAGGCGCTGATGAGGCGCTCGCTGATGTCCGGTCGCCCCCGGTTACTGCACTCCTGACGCCAAGAGGCAAACACCTCCTTTAGCTCGCGAGGGAATACACTGCAGAGGAGAAAAGGGATTAGACTTTTCCCCAAATACAGCAGTGTTTGAAAGTTTACACATCCAGCCAGAGATTGTTTTGGCCAAAGTCAGGGGTATGAATGAAAACACTAAAACATTTTCTTTCTCTCATTGTTAGTGGTTGTGTGATGCCATATTTGGTCTAATAAACATATGGTTTTGTGTTTTAAAGCCAAAACATCATTGTGCCAATCTGTGACGTTCTCAAATGGTCAGTCCGTGCATGGCGGTCCAGGAATTTATCGGAACTGGTGGCTTATTGCCAAGAAGAATGGGAAGCTTCACCATCAGGTAATGATCCAGGACATTTATGAACATTTATGGATAAAGTCAACTGCCCCCTATGGACCAATGGCTTATATGTGTTTATTATGATTGCATTTACTGTGTTTGAACAGTTTCATTCTCTAATCTGTGTTTGGAGAATTGATACATTTGTAAAGTCCTCTGAGGTGAAAAGTGTTGTGATTTAGGGCTATACGAAAATATGCTTAATTGAATTCAAATGAATCAGAGGATAAAGAACCCAGAACCACAAAAGACCAAAAAAGACTCCCAAGTTGTCATAGATGTTAAAGGGGAAAGACACACTATTGAGAACTGGGGGATGGAGACTTCTAATCAGGGCCAGAAGAGTAGTTTCTGTTATCATTATAATTTCACATTAGAAAACACATTTATTTCACATTAAGTGGCTTAACACAACCATTAACATTGAGTGAAACGTCTGCCTGTACACAACCGTCTACTTTAATATGAAGCTTGTAAGTAGTTTAAGGGAATTCCTGTAAAACTGTCGAACCAAGGACTGGATACGCAGAAGATTAAAACATAATCACCAGTAGGAGTTAATGATTTTGCAGAAGGCCAACTCGCAGCACATCTTCAGATTGCTCTGGTGTTCTGCTAGGTCCCCTGATGAACATTTAGACGGATCCACCTCGCAGTTCTCATCCGACTCGTACAAAGCCTTGATGAATTCACCTGCAAACAAAAGACAAACATTTACATCAACTGGGTTTTTTGAGTTGTTCCTTGGACAGTGATGATCCTGGACATATATGGACATTGATTAACATTTATGGACATGGTCATCCCGCCCCCTTATGGACCAATGGCTCCTATATCCAACTTTTGCTAATCCACGTATTAGTCTGCAACAAACTGGTCCTCGTTCTGTAGCCTGAGTCCTGGATCTACAGTGTGTAGCCTGTTTCTCACTTTTCCCACTGGGTTTAGAGTTTTTCCTTGGTGATGCGGGAGGGTCTGTTAGAACCTTCTAAGGTTTAACTATAGGGACAGTGGTGATGATCCAGGAAACTCAACATTTAACATTTATGGTCATTGCTCATCTGTCCCTTATGGACCATTACCATGTGTTTTCTGTTTTATTTATTGTGTTTGAACGGTTTGATTGTCTGATCTGTGTTGGTGAATTCAACGGTTGTGTAAAGTCCTCAGAGATAACTATTTTTTAGGGCAGAGGTGTCCAAACCGGTCCAGAAAGGGCCGCTGTGGCTGCAGGTTTTCTATCAGACCCAGCAGGAGCAGAGCAGGCTCCACCCATTTCCTATAGTAAGCTCAGTCTTAACCTGAAGATTTGAGGAAATGGTTGGAGTCTGCTCTTCTCCTGCTGGGTCTGATAGAAAACCTGCAGCCACAGCAGCCCTTTCTGGACTGGTTTGGACACCTCTGGTTTAGGGCTATACAAGAATAAATTGAATTGAATGCGTTTGTTGTTAATACATTGCCTGTATTAGACTCTATGCTCTAAATCGACAACTTTGTAAAGTCCTCCGAAGGCTATTCAAAAACGCATTAAATTTAATTGAATTGAATTAAGCAACATTAACATTATAACAAAATAAATAAAAAAACATGTTCTGCTTTGCCATTAAGTAGAGATGGCTTTCCACACTGTCAATTTTTTCTTTCCATGTGTTTGTCTTGTTCACCATCTCTCCAAGGACAATGCTTAATCTCCTATGCCTATCTCTCCAAAACAACTCTGATGCCCTTGCACTATCGCAGCCACAGCAGGGAGACTTTTTACCCGACATTAAAACCCATTGTGTATCCATTCGTCTTCTAAAACAGTCCATAAGTGCTTCGTAGCCCTGATGACACCGGCGAAGACAAACAAAACAAATGAATGCAGACAAATTGAAAGTTAATATAAGCGACAGGATGACAATGTGAGTGAATGCTTGCAACCGTGTGTGCATTTGGAAATTACACTCCTGCTGTGTACACTCCCGAAGCATCAACAGGAAACACACACAGAGAATACAGAGCAGTGATTGGAAAGACTGCGGCGGAACTTTGCTCTGACCTTGTTTCACTTTGTGGGACTTTTGGCACCGAGTAATCATCTCATCGAAAAGGAGAGTTATACTATATACAGTACATGCAGGATCTTACTTCCTGAACGAGAAGGATGGACCAAAGACCACTGAAGTGTTTTTACTTTAATCTTTTCTTTATATCTGTATGTTAAGATGGCTACAGACCCCAGGAGATTTAGACTTGAGAGACATAAGGATGATCTGAATCCGATTTTGGTTTCCACTGTTTTATTTTTTATGTTTTATATAGACAATAGATCTGGAAATTACTATTATTAAATGTGTTACTTTCCTCTCTGTGCCGAACTTTAGAAACTTAACTTTAACGTGTGCTACAACATTGGATTGAGAGACACCTCCAGCCTTCCATATTGTTTCTAGACACATTACATTCAATAATACATTTGGCATCAACACTTATTACAAATGTATTTCATTTCACTTGACTGAATCAGGACAAACATTGCTCCCATCTCTGTGTGGAGTGAGAGACAAATGCCCGCAATTGTAAAGCGCTTTGTGACTCTGGTCTGTGAAAGGCGCTTTATGAATAAAGATTACTTACTTAATAACTCGCGACTACTTCTTATAAAATCTACTTTTAAATCTGTCTTTGTCATGCAGCTAGTTTCATATCCTTGACAGATGCAGCACAGACAAATGACCTTTCAGACAAAACGTCACATACAATAATCGTCTGAAACTGGGCTCAAAATCCTTGTGTCTGGAGCCAGCATGAGCCGACTTCTGTTGTTTTTAACATTTGAACCTTACTGCCAGACTTTTATGTCCCAAAACTCACCAAGTGCATCTTGCAGATATTTCTGCCCCACGAGTTTGAGATATTCCTCAATAGCTTTTGTGGCCAGTGTGTTTTCTCTGAAGATGAGATGCTCGTTCTCTCCACAGCGGTCCACCTCCGACATCATCAGATCCGTCAAGAAATCCTGCAACAAACAATGACAATAATTTTACTAATTAGGATATGACAGGATTAAAAGTTAGGTTCATCATCGTTACAGCGTGACTTTTTAGCCAGAAAAACAGTCAAATTTACAAGCAAACTTGAATTCTTTTGTTTATGGCATTGACAGAAGTATATTAAGTATTAAGATGAAGAGATCCTATATTTGTTCCAAAGTGCGGAAATGTCAGTATTGCATCACAAGTAACAGACAGTAGGAATGAGGAGCATACAGCACAAGATACAACTACTGTATATGTTAAAATAAAATATAAAAAACTATAACTAGCATAAAAAAGCAGTATATAATCTCTATTTTTAGCATAGCAAGGTGTAAATAGGTGTCTTAACTGTGAGAAAACAACTTCACAACTTGACTCATATCTCCTTAGGCAAAATTTTTCCACAATATGGTATAAATCAAATATATTTAACAGAGAACACTCCATTCTATAGTTTAATATTCTTAGTCATATTTTTGGGAGTTTAAGTACATTGGAATTCTCAATATTGATCTCGTTTTCTCACGTCGAGTTGAATAATCGGATATGTCATCAGCATATGAAGAAAGAGTCCCAAATTTCAACTTAAACAGAAATACTATAAGCATCGCTGCTACAAGTGTAGAGCAATAGCAGGTGGAAACAAAATAATTCCTCAAAACCAAGTGAACGAGACTCACAGAAACGAGGCATCAGGGATTGAATCATAGCTTGTTTCTGCCACTTTCAACATATTTTCTGGGGTGCATTTTTTTATAGTCCCCTGGCGTCTTGTTAAACTTGGAATGGGGATCCAGCGTAACAGCCAGGGAGACGAGAGCTGTGTGACAGATGTAGCGAGTGGAACTGGTCTTTTAAGGAACAGAGCAGACGTGGAGAAGAGAGAAAGCATCTAAGAGCATCTCTATAGCTGCTGCACAAGTCTGTAATCCAGATAATCAAAGACACACCACAGGAGCCCATCGCCCAGTGATGTGCAGCCAAAAAAACCTCTGTGACCAAGATGCGCGGTCCATACAGTGACGCAGCACATTCAGGGAGCACACTTCTGACCTCTAAAGCATTTACACTATACACCATTCTTATCACCATCAGGTTTTAGGCTTGAGAATAGAAAAATACATTGTTTTTTGTGAGATGTCTCTGAGATAAACAAGAAAATATGGAGAAACGTATAGCACCATAAGCTGGGGACTGGGGAAAAAAACAAAAAAAACTATTACAGTTTTAGGTAGGGATGCACTGATTGAGACATTTTGAGCCAATACCGATGTTTAACATAACTTGGCCGATGTATTTTCTTTTTGTTATTGATATTTATCTATTTCTTGGCGAGTTCAGTTTTCAGTTTTTATTCAGCTTGCAGGTGATCGCTGTAAACCGCCTCATCCTTGCTTCTCAAATGTCCAATGAGATTTGTTTCTTCCCTCTTGAAATCTCACCAGAACATTTCTTGCAACCTGCATAACGCTGATCTTGTTCTGATACTGTAATCTATAGCCACATGACCGCGGCCATCTTCTTTGTTTCTTCTACTGAGGAAAGTGTGTGGACGCCCTCTACCGGTATCTCTTCGCTTACGCCTACCATTAGGGAAAGTCATTTTTTTTTGCAGATGGCCGATGGTAGTTAACAAGGCAAAAATCGGCCGAGCTTAACAAAACAAGAAAACATAAATAATCACCATAAGATCAGCAACAACTACATTTACATTGCAGAAAAGTAACAAAACTAGATTCACTACCTTGCATAATTTAGCAAGTTTATAAGATAATATTAACTTGTATAATAATTAAACTTGACAGCTAGAAAAAATACTTGACATACTTCCAATATTGGACAGATAGAAATATCAGAAACATCTAGATATTTTAGTACAATATGCAGCTGGTTGCAAGATGTGCCTTTAACTTTGATGAACAACTCTCTGCTGCGTTCCACTTCCCTGAAAGTGACGTTAACGTGTGAAATAGGAGGCCACCATGATGCATCACAAATCTTTAGTCTCCTGCTGGCTGCTCTCGAGCCTTAAGGGGCAGTAGCTTCATCCGCCGTTGTCATTCTAATCCGAGGGGGACTCAATCCTGCTCTCCTCCCTTCTCCTGCCCCCCTCCCGCTTCCCTGGTGCTAATAAAGAGAAGTGGAGCACTGGCTTTATCGCTGCCACATCTCATCAGCCAAACCATGGTTCAAAAGAACTCCAGCACAGTTTATGGGAGAGGAGGCCGACAACACAAGAGGTGCAGCCCTCATCAGATCTCATAACATCCATTTTGTTTGAACTCACTGCTTTGCAAATGTGCAAATGGGACCAGTATAAATAAACAAATATAATTGCAAAAAATACTATAAAAAAGATGAATGAACAATAATTTGGATGTTAACTGATTGACTGCCATTGACGTATACGACCAGTTTGAGACTGGGGATTTCTGTCAAACTTCCCTCTATTCGACTGGGGATTACAGGACAACAAAAATAGCCAGAAACAAACTTATTTTTGCTGATGAAAGTAGATAATCCAGTTTTTCAGAATCTGGTTTCATATTTCACATAGTCATAGCACATCATATTCTGTGGGTCTTGAGAATCAATGAAATCAACAAAAGGGGCTGTCAGTCGATGAGTTAAATGATTGCATTGATTGTGTGCCGCCGTTAGTTAAGTGAGTGTGCTTTAATTGGAGACTAAGGCTGTAATAATGTAATTGATTGAAAGCAAATTGATTATTTAGTAATTGAGTAATTGATTTTAAAACCATACCTGGACCAAAACATGCTTTAAATAAGTTTTATACCCTGTACATACAGAGAAACTTTTTGTGGTGTAAATAATAATGGTGTTTTATAGTTTTTTTTATTTGTGTTTTTAAATATATTTTCAATGTATTTAATTGAAATACATTCAATATTCGGGGCGAACAGTAGCTCAGTTGGTAGAGCATTGGCCTTTGGGCCTGAAGGTCGTGGGTTCGAGCCCACCGTAAGACCTACTTCACGACTCCCACTGATGACTGCTGTCGTTGTGTCCTTGGGCAAGACACTTAACCCCACTTTGCCTGAAGCTCCCACTGAAAGATCTCAGCTCCTGTGGACTCACCACCTGCAGGAGGATCAGTGAGGGGCTGGTGCTCTGTGACTGGGTGCAGCTCTGACTGCCACCCCCCCGACCCAGAAATGGATTAAGGGGAAGAAAATGGATGGATGGATGTATTTAATTTTCTTTGATTGATTCCCGGTACGGATATGTATGAATGCATTTGTGTGTGTATGGGTTTTTCATCCACAAGGGTCTGTCCTTGCTTGAGGCACTAAATAATAAACACCTTTAGCTGTGTTTGTGAAATCGCTGCCATTCTGTTCCTATTTTTCAATTTTTCTCCTTTGGGATCTTAACTCAAAATGATGGCTCTGTTAGTTTTCAAGCTTAGGACATTAGAAGTCCAACTTGACCCTCTGGCCCGATTGAATGAACCAACTCTATCCTCGCAGCTACTTATGTCTAAGATGGAAATGCTTTGCCTGGAAATGGCCCAGCTACACTCCCTCTTTACGAATCAATAAGTCTTGCTTCTTCATCCAAATTGAGGCTTAAGAAAAGACTGACTCCTTCTCTCTCTCCCTGTATCCTGCAGCTATGCTCTCGGGAGACTGCGGGATAGTGTTACAGCCCGCGGCTCTTCCTGTGAGGTCACACTGGACTGAGGGTCAATGGAAAAGCATCCATCCATAGGGTAGCGGCCCTGTCACTCAAAGCAGAAACAGGAAATGACCCACGCTGCACCACTGGAGCTGTGCGTTATACAGATGTACACTGTGAGTTGCCTTCTGTGTGGATCGTAAAAATAAACTTGCTTTAGCGCTGGATACACAATCGCTGAGTCATAAGCAGAGCATCATATACAAAGACGGATATTTCTCTCATTTCTAACCTTCAAATCAAATCAATGTATTTATGTACAGCCCAAAATCACAACAGCAGCAGTCTCCAAGGACTTTACAAAACGACTAGAAGACAAGACAATGATTATATAAACATTACTTGTACTTAGACCCTAAGTACAAGTAATGTTGTACTTAGTACAAGTAACCCTAGAAAGTAACCCTAGAAAAAATATCTCGAGCGTTTTTAAAAGCCCTGTTTCCACCAGCACTACATGGCTCTACTCTACTCGGCTCTACTCTACCTGGTTGCGTTTCTATAACTCTTTAGTATCTGGTACTGTATCCTAGCAACCTACACACAACAAACCAGTATCCGGCGAAAAAAACTCGGTATCCATGGCTACCAGCAGCATTCTGGCATATCCTTGTCAATTAGAAAAGTTTAGTACAAGCTTGGCATGTATAGAAAAAGGGTCAAGTAGGCACTAAAAAGTACCTTGTACCAATTAAACAGGGCCAGTGGAAACAATCCCAATCATGGTAGAGTAGAGTAGAGTATAGTAGGGCAAAGTAGGGGTGGTAAAAACGAACAATTCACTATCAATCAAAGCAGTGGTTCTACAAGCTACAATAAGAAAGACTATAATGATTGATGACAATGCCACCTCTCCCTGGCCGGCTTTCGGTGGCATAAATCCACCCTATTGTCATGTCCCACAGTCAGAGAAGAGCTGTCTCAACAAAACTAGAACCTAATCTTCCAGTGAGCCAAGGCATGAAGGCTGGATCAATACACGATCATGCCAGCAGTGGAGATTTTTCAAAGATGGACTTCTTCTGGAGGCAATTCCGTCTCAGCAGTGGGCTTGTTGTTGTTGACGTCAGGCATCAGGCACAAGTGCCGTTTGGCTTTGTGTCCCGTGGGGAGCAGAAAGAACATTGGCATGACCTCCAAACTTCTGATAAACAGGAATTTCTCATTCACTATTTCAATTGCAGCGGCTTCTTCATATAGGCTAGAGTCAACCACTTCTGTGTAACTGCTCATGTGTGAAATTGAATAGAGGACCTAGAAAAATAGGCTAATGTATTGAGAT